CAGGTGATCTCATTGTAACATACAAGATTCCAAACAGGCTTAAGAGGATAGATACATCGTTTATTTCCACTGGTTAGGGAATTTAGAACACAAAGGCACAATTTCAGGATAAATCAGTCCATCCTTCAGGATTGAGATGAGAAATTGCTTCACTCAAAGTGTTGCGAACTTTTGGAATTCTCTACCCAAAGGGTTATGGATGCTCCATCATTGACTATATTTAAGGCTGGATAGACAAACTTTTGGTCTCTCAAGGAATCACGGCGTGGTTGTGAAAGTGAAATTGAAGTCTCCCAAGATCAGCCACAATCATGCTGAATAGCAGAGAAGGTCAGTTGCCAATTCCTGCTCCTATCTCATGTTTTTGTGTTCAGCGACCTCAAGCACCTAGACAAACAAGCAGGTGCTCCGGTTCAAAAACAAAGTTGCTGGAAAAGCTCAGTAGGTCTGGCAGCATCTGTGAAGGATAAAACAGAGTTAACGTTTCAGGTCCGGTGATCCTTCCTCAGAACTGATGGTGGCTGGGAAAATGTCAGTTTATATGCAGAAAATAGGGAGGTGGGTGGGGTAGGGAGGAAACGATAGGATAGAGCCCAAAGAGAGAGAAAGACAGTTGGACAGACAAAGGAGTTGCTGGCAATCAGGCTGGGAGGGTGAATAGTTGTTGACGGGGACTGTTAGTGACTAACAACAGGGGGGTGTAATGGCAGGCTATGTGGTAACAAGGCCTGGTGTGTGGGGTAGGAGGCTGGGACATGGGAGAGTTTAGGCCCTAAAATTATTGAATTCAATATTGAGTCCGGAAAGCTGTAAGGTCCCCAAGCTGAAAATGAGGTGTTGTTCCTCCAGCTTGCGTTGGGCTTCACTGGAACATGGCAGCAAGTCAGAGACAGAGATGTTGGCCAGGGAGCAAGGTGGTCCGTTAAAGTGGCAGGCAACAGGTAGTTCAGGGTCTTTTTTGCGAGCAGAATGTAGATGTTCTGCGAAGCAGTCGCCAAATCTATGCTCCAATTGCTCCGGTTTCCTCCCACAGCCTCAAGACGTGCAGGTTAGGTGGACTGGCCATGATAAATTGTGCATAGTGTCCAGGGATGTGCAGGCTAGGTGAATTGGCATGGGAAATGCAGGGTCCCAGGGATCCGATGCGGGGGTGGGGCTGAATTTGGGTGGAACGCTCTTCAGAGAGCCGGTGTGGACTTGTTCAGCCAAGTGGCCCGTTTCCACACTGTAAGGATTCTAAGGTGCCCCTCTATTCCGCTCCATTTCAGACACTATCCAAACCTTGAAACATATCTCCATTTCTTCACCATTGCAGGATGAAAATCTTGGAACTCCCCACACCCACCAGCACAGAGTATACCTGTACCAAAAGAACAACAGCAGTTCAAGAAGGCAGCTCACCATAATATTCTCAAGAACAGTCATAGTGGACAATAAATGTCGGCCTTACCAGCAATGTCCCAGTGCAAAGAATGACGAAAAGAATTGTTCATGTTTCAAGTTCACTCAAGTGCTGCACACTATTGGCTGTCAAGCATTGTGGGACAGCCTGTAGGGGGCAGAACAGTGGTTCAGTGGTTAGTACCGCTGTCTCACAGCCCCTGGGACCCAGGTTCGATTCCAGCCTCAGGCAACTGTCTGTGTGGAGTTTGCATCCTTCAGAGGGTCACTGTAGACATGATGGGATGAATGGCCTGCTTCCACACTGTAAGGATTCTATGATTCTATGAAATTATCAAAGGTATTATTCAAATGCAAGTTTGTTTTTTTTAAATCATTAGAATTACATTTGAAAATCTCAAGTGTTGGCAAGACTTCTTTGAATGCAGAAGGTGGCAGCTCAATTTATCACTACTACAATCACCTAGGCAACATTAATGTAAAGAATCTAGGGTGTCTCAGTCTGCAGGGCACAAGAAAAAGCAAAGTGTAAAGGCAAGGCTTGTCTCAACCAAAACACAATCAGACGATTTACTGAATTTGAAGTTGATTTCCTGTGTGGGACCAGCTATGTACTTTTCTCACCAATGAGATTTTGTACCACAAAAGAAATAGGAGAATGATGGAGAAAGAGAACAAATTAGAATTAACAAATTAGAAATATGTTACAAAGACAGAAGCAAAACGAGTAAAAGAAAGACTTGATTGAGACAGGGAAGATATCAACTAAAAGGAAAACAATTAAAAATCAGTTTTTATTTTAAATCTCCAACAACAATCTACCATTTACCAGAGGCCAAACAGATTACACTGTTCTTTTTCCGGATCAATACTGATTGGCATTACATTAAAAGCACACTCGTGCTCTTAATCACTAATTTCCCATTAAATTGATCACAGAATGTTAATGTGCAAATTTAGAAAAAGTTTGCAAAGACAACAGGAGAGCTAAATTACTCCATTTGTGCAAAGGAAACAACAGAGCAGCATAAAACAGCCAGATAGTTCCGGGCATTCGCAACTTACATCCCTTAATAACAACCTGTATCCACAACACACTATTATTGTTCCAGCAAAATTCAGCCCAAAGACTCAGCACATTCTAATTCATTAGTTCCCAGATCATAATTCCCAAATCCTTTCCCAGTGTTTCCTTCCTTCCTCCAGGTTTCAAAGGATATTAACAATCCATTTCCTAATCATTAATTCCTCACCTAAACCTTTCAACACCATAAAAGAAGTACATATTTTACCTAAGTTAATACATTGAGGAATATGTCTGAGCAACTGTAAAATGGTTGTTTGCGTTTTCCTTCTTTACAACACTTATGCAGTATACAGACCTTCATAAATGTCAATATGACTCAATGTTATTATATTCGCCTCTGGCTCAGGGAATCATAGGTTCATCCTGACTACAGAGACATCAGTACATAATCTGAGAGGTCAGTTGGCAACCAGAGGAAATGCACAGCTTTAAAGATAATTGCCAAAAGAACAGAGGAAGATGGAGAATTTCTCTTTGTGTAAATACAGTGACTTCTCATATTCTAGAATGTTTCAAAGGGCTGATGGGAACAGATTAATGGTAACTTTTGAAAGAAAGTTTGGAACAAAAGGTTTGGAGGACTATGGGGAAAAAGAGCATTTGGCTAATTGAAGAGCACTTCTGAAGTGTCAGCACAGCTACAATGGAGCATATGGGCTCGTTGTATGCTTTACAATTCTATGAACCTTTGCTAGCACTTTGGTGACATATTAAGGGAATGCTGCACTGTTGCAGGTGCCACAGTTCAAAAGACATGTTAAGTCCAAAGCCTATCTACTTGTTTAGGTGGATGTAATAGATTGCATGGCAGTGTGCAAACAGCAGGTGAATAGTTCCAATGTCCTAACCAATATATCTAAGCTGACTCCTTTACATAATGCAGCTTGCATGTTAAATAACATGTATTAGCAGCAAGGAGACAGAGATCCCTGATGGCTACATCAGGAAGAAACCTTTCCTTTTGGGAGTGGGTTATACATTTGCTTTTAACCACTGAACTAATCAGAAATGGCGGCATTATAGACACCATGAAACAGAATGGAAGTTTAATATTAGCCAGTCATAACATTCATTTAGAAGATACTGGGTGGGTAGACAAGACAAACAAGCACTAAATTATGTTTCCTCTCAACCTATCTTCTCCTCGATCCATCTTCTATCCGCCTCCCCTTCCCCTCCCCCATTTCTGATGAAGGGTCTAGGCCCGAAACGTCAGCCTTTCTGCTCCTATGATGCTGCTTGGCCTGCTGTGTTCATCCAGCTCTGCACCTTGTTGTCTCGGATTCTCCAGCATCTGCAGTTCCTGCTATCTCTGACTAAATTATTATAGCCTTCTTTCATTTACTGTTCTCCCATCACACTATAGAAATTTCACTCATTGTGTCAGGAGTAGAAGAACAGAGAAAGGAAGTCAACCATCTCCTGCCAAATCCTGATAAGGTGGTCTTTTCCCAGGGCGGGAGGAGTTACAGCAGCTGCCAAATCCACAGAAAGCTTCTTCAAATGAACAGACTTTATTTGCCTTCAGAATATGACAATATCAGCTAATTTTCCCCCCAAAGTGTCCTTAACGGATGGACCAATTAGCCAGAGCTCCACCTGAATAACAACACATCATGATCACTCTAGATCCTGAAAAGTTGTGCGCTACACTAATAATCATCTGCTAGTACCAAGAACCATTTCTGAACTGAGCCATTCTAACTGGGGCCAGGAGAAAGGTGGGAGGTAGGGAGCTAGAGGAGGCAGGAAAAGAGACAAATGGAAAAGTTAGGTGGAAGGTAGGAGTGATTGCCCGGCAAAGTGAATGATGTCACAAGGCAAAAGAGTTTGTTTCTGTCCATCATTGTCTCCTTCAATTCAGATTTTTCATGTTCAAGGTTTTCCTTTTCACCAAAATCAATTTTCAAACTTCAGACAACATTCAAAACTAAATTAGCTTCACTTCCATGGGTAATGCCATTTGTTCCCTTCAAACCAGTACAGAAGGTTCAGAGGATATTTAATTGAGGTGCTCAAAATTATGAAGTGTTTCAATAAGTAGAAAGGGAAAACCAGTTTCTATTGACAGGAGGATCAGTAACCAGACAACACAGATTGAAGATGACTGGCAGAAGAACCAAAGGGAGAACAATGCTATATAATGAGATGTCATTATCCAGAATTAGTGGCCTGAAAATGATAGAGGCAGTCAATATCAAGCTTCAAAATAAAACTGTATAAATACTCAAAAGGGAAATATTTAACCTCAGATAATGAACAAAGGAAGAGAATTACACAAATTGAACAGCTGTTTCAAAGAACAGGCACAGGAAATGTAGTCAGAATCATCATCTTCTGTGCCGTAAATTCTACGAACACTGCAGCCTGTTGTTGGCTCCCCACTATTCTGTGTTCTACTGACCACATGTCCAAAAGGAGGTTATAATTCCATTAAAATCAATGGCAATACAAACACAACATTAGAACAGCAGTTCATCCTTTCAGCTGAAATACAAAAACAGCACAGTACCTTGTTGCGTAGCGACTGTTAATGTCTCTGTGGCAGTGGGCTGTGAAGTGAGTGAACTCTCAACACTGGGAGTTATAATTTGGATGCCTTCTCCGGATTTCTGCTGGTGTGCAGACACAAAACTGCTTGTTTCTGGGTTCAGCGTTGCAGTCAGTGTTTCAACATGTGATGAATTTGATGGAAATACGTATTCCTGGCAAAGGCAGGGAAAAGTGCAATTACTTGTTCAGAAACACAGCATATTTTATCGTGCATTCTGAAAGAATAAAGGTAAAATGTAGAGGCCAGCTTTTGTAGATGAGTACTGACTAGTGAAACACTTGCCCATTTTTCTCTAGGATTGATTTACCATGGTGTGCCTTGTAACATTGTATGTCAGCACTCTAAAGCAAGAACATTTTTATGTTACATGTTCTTGTTTGTATGGGTGGATGCTATTCAGCTACTCCCCAATCTATGTGGCAGTGACAAACAATGTGTCTTGGAACAGAAATGTCTGAAAATAAATATGTGCCATGTTTTGCTACCCAAAATGCTGCAGACTCTCTCTTTTTAAATACTTCCAATTTGCCTCTCCCCACAGCAGAGAAAAATTCCTTGCCATAGTCACAAGTGGTATCCGCCATGACTATGCTGTTACATGCCTCTTTGTTTTCCTCAGCTGCCCTGCAGCATTCACCATTATTAACTATACCATCCTTTTCCAATCCATGGCTTGGTGAGGCAACCCTATTTCCATCTGTCTGAACCCAGCTAGCACATCTTCAGCAATGTCATCCTTTCCCTCACTGCATCAACTTCACACATATATTGGTCATGCCCAAGCCTGCATCTCTAGTACTCTGTTGAGGCTTCCACACGATCAGATTGTTTTTTTTCCAGACATCAGACATTGTGTATGTCACAACTTTCTCTATCCTAAAATCTGGCAGATAGAAGCCAGTCTCTTTAACTCCTGCAACTGATTCCTATCCCCTTCTAGGTCACTCAATATGAACTTGCAGTTTTTCCCATCTGACTGCATATCATTTGTAGCAATAAGAGCCCATATTTCTACCTATGGAACATGGCCCATTTCCATTCTCATGCTTTTCACACTCTGGTAAGATACTTCGATTATTTTTCAGACTCAACTACTTTTAAGGATTCCTTGCTGACCTCTCATCCGCCCCACCTATTAATCTCATCTCTGACCAAAGGTCGACAATCACATTCTAAATTGGACCATAAGAAATAGGCACAGGAGTAGGCTGTTCAGCCCCTTGAGTCTGCTCCACCATTCAATAAGATCATGGCTGATCCAATGTTCCTCACGTTCACTTTCCTGGCTTTTCTCCATAATCCTTGATTCCCTACTGATCAACTGGCTTCACTCTTCACATGCATCCTCAATGACAAATTCTGGCACCCTGTTTCCAAATGAATTAAATTCAAAACCTTTGTCTACCAATTCCACCATGGCATTTCCTCATCCTAAACCTCTGACCCCTCCCCATTTCCTCACGTATGAGCCCACTCTTGGGACAGGTTCTCTTTAATGGCTAGTCCCTGTGGAACCACAAGCTAGGAGTCCATTCCTCAGGAGAGGAAGGAAAAAAAGACTGCACTTGCTGACACTCAACAGCATGCACATCAGCGTTACCTCTCAAATTTATTTAAACAAAGAATGACAAATACCAGACAAAAACCTAATGAAAACACTTTAATGAAAGAATATGTTGGGTGAGGAAAATAAAGTGTAAAACAAATGGGAATTTTTATTCTAATTTTTAATTAAAAATCAGCTTAATATTGCACACACATGTACGCATATGCTGTTGAAAATAATTGTGGTGAGCACATGCAGTCAGCAATCAATGTCAGATCACTGGTGTCAGCAAAAATTTAAAAAGAAATGAAGTCAAAGTCACTTGAATTTAGTTCATAAGGAAGTTAAAATCAAAATCCACAAATGTTAGAAATAACATTGATTGGAATCCCTTTCTAGCTCTTAAAGTTGTGTTTTTAATAAGTTTTCTTTTTGGTAACACAAGTAGAAGTGATGCAATGGATGAATTCACACATAACATGGTTTTATTTTAGATTGGGTTTAACAATGTGCAATGTCCTACAATTCTATAAGCAAACTAGAGAAATTGAGACCCATTCATTAAAGTTATGGACACATTCTGTTGGTTACCCTTTTCTCAAACTCCAATTTTGGCTCCATGATATCACTCACACCTCTAAATCAGCGCTTTTTGGGTTCAAAACCCATTCTAGGGCACTAAACCACAGGCTCGGTGCTTCAGGGATACTTAAGGGAGAGTAACACTGCCTGATTGACAATCTTTCAGAAGAAATGTTAAACTGAATTCCACCTTAAAATGGCCCATTATTGCCATTATCTTGAAGAAGAGCTGAAGTATCCACCCAGGTCCCGAGCTAAGATATCCCTCAAGTAGACGTAAAATAGATGATCTGATGACTATGACAACACACTGTGGAGCTGAAGGAACACAGCAGGCCAGGCAGCATCAGAGGAGCAGGCAAGTTGAAGTTTTGGGTCTGGACTCTTCTTCAGAAATGGGGGAGGCAGAAGGGAGCTCAGAAATAAATAGAGAAAAGAGGGGTGGGGCTGGGGAAGGTAGGTGGGATGGTGATAGGTGGGATGGTGATAGGTGAGTGCAGGTAGGGATGGTGGAGATTGGTCAGTGAGGTAGGAGGGGCAAATAGGTGGGAGAATATGGACAGTTGTGTCAGGTCAAGGAGGCGGGGATGAGAGGGAGGGTTGCTCATGGGATACGGCTGGGGGTGGGGAGATTTTGAAACTGGTAAAATCCACATTTAGGCCAGGTGGGCTGTAGGCTCCCAAGGTGGAATATGAGGTGCTGCTCCTCCAGTTTCTGGGTGGCGTCATTGTGACACTGGAGGACACTCAGGACAGACATGTCAACCAGGGAGTGGGAATGGGAGGAGGAGCTGAAGTGGTTCACAACTGGAAGGTGTTATCATTTGTCATGAACAGAGCACAGGTGCTCTACAAAGCGGTCTCTGAGCCTCTGCTTGGTCTCACCGATGTAGAGGAGGCCACATCAGGAGCAGCGGATGCAATAGACCACATTGACGGATGTGCAGGTGAACATCTGTCTGACGTGAAAGGTTTGTTTGGTGCCTTGAATGGAGGTGAGAGGGGAGGTGTAGGGGCAGGTGTAGCACTTCCTGCGGTTGCAGGGAAAGGTGCCGGGGGTGGTGGGGCTTGAGTGTGGAGCGGACGAGGGAGTCGCGGAGAGAGCGGTCCCTACAAAAGGCAGGTAGGGGTGCAGAGGGAAATATATCCTTGGTTGTGGGGTTGAATTGTAAGTGGCAAAGAATGATACATTGGATACGAAGGTTAGTGGGGTGATATGTGAGGACAAGGAGGAACATGCAGTTCTCCGCTCCCACATTAACCTCACTATCAAACCTGCAGATAAAGGGGGCACAGTAGTGGTGTGATGCACTGACCTTTACATAGCTGAGGCCAGGTGCCAACTCTCTGACACCTCCTCCTATCGCCCCCTTGATCATGACCCCACCCCTGACCAAAACATCATCTCTCAAACCATCCACAACTTCATCACCTGAGGTGACCTCCCACCCACAGCCTCCAACCTCATCATTCCACAGCCCTGCACTGCCCGTTTCTATCTCCTTCCCAAAATCCACAAACTTAACTGTCCCAGCCGACCCATTGTCTCTGCCTACTCCTGCCCCACTGAACTTATCTCCACTTACCTTGCCTCTGTTTTCTCCCCCGGTCCAAGAACTCCTCACCACCCCCTACGTCTAGGGCACCACCCCACATCCTCCACCTCCTCCAATTCCCTGGCTCCTAACACCTCATCTTCACCATGGACGTCCAATCCCTGTATACTTGCATTCCCATGCAGATGGCCTAAAAGCCCTCCGCTTCTTCCTATCCTTCAGGCCCAACCAGTCCCCCTCCACCAACATCCTCATCTGCTTAATCAAACTCGACCTTACCCTTAACAACTTCTCCTTTAACTCCTCCCACTTCCTACAGACTAAGGGGGTGGCCATGGGAACCCGCAAGGGCCCCAGCTATGTCTGCCTCTTTGTAGGATACGTGGAACAGTCCCTCTTCCGCTGTTACACTGGCACTATCCCCCACCTCTTGCTCCGCAACATTGATGACTGTATCGGCGCTGCCTCATGCTTCCACAAGGAGCTTGAACTTTACTAACACCTTTCACCCCAACCTCAAGTTCACCTGGACCATCTCTAGATACCTCTCTTTCCTTCCTGCACCTCTGGTGACCGCCTTGAAACCGACATCTATTTCAAGCCCAACGAAACCCACGGCTACCTGGACTACACCTCCTCTCACCCACCTTCCAGCAAGAATGCAATCCCCTACTCCCAATTCCTCCGCCTCCACTGTGCCTGCTCCCAAGATGGGGCATTCCACTCCTGAACATCCCAGATGTCCTCTTATTTCAAGGACTGCAACATCCCCCCTTCGGTGGTTGAAAATGCTCTCGATCACATCTCTTGCGTTTCCTGCACCTCTGCCCTCACATCCCCTCGCCGCAACAAAAACAAAGACAGAATCCCCCTTGTCCTCACATATCACCCCACTAACCTCCGTATCTGACGTATCGTTCTCCGCCACTTCCGCCACCTGCAATCCGACCCCACAACCAGAGATATATTTCCCTCCCCACCCCCATCTGCCTTTCGTAGGGACCGCTCCCTCCGCAACTCCATCGTCCGCTCCACACTCCCCATTAGCCCCACCACCCCCAGCACTTTTCCCAGTAACCACAGGAAGTGCTACACCTGTCCCTACACCTCCCCTCTCACCTCCATCCAAGGAACTAAAAAAGCCTTCCACATCAGACAGAGGTTCACCTGCACATCCGTCAACTTGGTCTACTGCATCCGCTGCTCCCGATGTGGCCTCCTCTACATCAATGAGGCCAGGCTCTGAGACTGCTTTGTACAGTACTTGCGCTCTGTTCGCGACAAACGACAACACCTTCCAGTCACAAACCATTTCAACTCCCCCTCCCACTCCCTGGGCGACATGTCCATCCTGGGCCTCCTCCAATGTCACAATGACACCACCCAGAAACTGGAGGAGCAGTACCTCATATTCCGCCTTAGGAGCCTACAGCCTAATGGCCTAAATGTGGATTTTACCAGTTTCAAAATCTCCTCATCCCCGGCCTCATCCCATGACCAACCCTCCCTCTCCTCCTGCCTCCTCCCTGTCCATCTTCTCTCCCACCTATCTGCTCCTCCCACCTCACTGACCAATCCCCACCACTGCCTACCTGCACTCACCTATCACCATCCAACCTACATTCCCCAGTCCCACCCCTCCTCCCTCTATTTATTTCTGATCTTCCTTCCCCCTCCCCCATTTCTGAAGAAAGGCCCTGACCTGAAACGCCAACTTTCCTGCTCCTCCGATGCTGCCTGACCTGCTGTGATCCTCTAGCTCCACACTGTTATCTCTGACTCCAGCATCGGCAGTTCTTACTATCTCTGATCTGATGACTATTGTGCTAGCGTTTGTGGCAAGGTGCTCAATGCAAATTGTCTGCCCCATTCCTAAATTACAACAGTGACTACACTTAATATGTAGTTCCTTGGCTCTAAAGCACTTTGGGGGGAATCCTTGGTTTCTGAAGGGATCAAAGAGGTTAATTTTACTTCTTTCTGTGCAGCCATTATATTGTGCAATTGGCCTGCTTCTTAGCCACCACCCTTTTCTATCATTCGGTCGCCATCAGAAAATACAACTACCAGTGGAAGATCTCCTTTAGTTTCACCAACATGTTGTGAGGAGCAATTAGCTGTCTCCTGGATGATTCCCTAAACAGTTGTTTGGGGTCAGGAGCTCGACGAGGAGGAGCCATGAGTCCAGATTCTGTTTTCTGAATTGCACCATGCCACATACATCCAATGGAGTGAATGTTAATTTTCCAGTATTAGACTACTGCCTACCATGAAAGTAGTACTATCATTGCAACCCAGTTTCAAATTGCTACAACAACAATTTGGAACTGGAGCCCCAACTGTTAGAGCACTTTAATGATTCTGCTATGTTTTTAAAGCTTTTCCAGGAAGGCTATTTCTAGCAATTGAAACAAAATACGTATGCTGCTTAGTTGCCCACCTATGAAACTTCAAACTGCTTCATTTCCCAAGATTTCCCCAGTTCCAGCAGTGCTACAGATCCTACCTTATGGAAGGCAGGAGCAATAGGAAGAATTATTGCTCTTTCCAGACCACACCTCCACCCAAATCATCCTATCCTCAAATTTTAATCTGTACCTTAGCAATTTTGATTAGGATCCAGTAGTATCTTGCCCAAATTATCTCTGCTATGGCTCTTGCACAACAGTGAAACCCAATGAAGGGGGAAATGAGGTCACACTGCCAAAGAAGGATTACATAAAACAACAGAAAATTTAGAATTACCTCTTGGACACTGGTGCTGTTTTCATTCAACTTTTGCAGTAGTTTTCCTTTGCTCACTTTCTCCAAAGGGACAAAATTCATGACATGGTTGACCTCTTGCTTTGTTTCATCACTCCACTCTTCTTGCTGAGATTCATTAACTGGGAAGCTCACATTTGGAGGGGCTCTGCTTTGAATTCCAATATCCTCCTCCTCAACATCGACCCCACTTGCCTTCACAGAAGACACATCAAGATCCCACAGTGGCCAGGGCTGTGAGCCATGCATCTGCCCTGGACTCTTGCTGGTACTCTCCAAATTCCCATAGGTGGCGGGTATTTCTTTGTAGACCCTTATGGAGTCCTCTGCTATAGAGCTATCAAGGGTCAAGTCTTCACCATACAGATCTTGCACGTTACCATTCCCCTCAGTTGGCACTGACTCCCTTTGCTTCCCCATGGAACGTCCTCTGCCTTTATGATAGGCATCTTGTAAGCTTGGCCTCTGAGCTGGTGACCGCTGCACAAAGCTTAAGTAAGATTCCACAGCACTAGTCATCTTTGGCTCGCATTCATCCCTGCGTTGACAATTTATAATGTAACAGCGACCCTCAAACATCCATGCCAAGTCACAGTCAGTAAAGTCACAACACGCCGATATGCATTCCGACATTGACACTGCTGGAGGAACTCGCAGGATTTTGGTTGTCTTTAGGTTGGGGGAAACTATAGCATCCGGATACTGAGCTGTTTCACTGCAGTAATTTGATACAGCACCTGTGAAAACATTACCAATCACAATTCAAATTACAGACTGTTAAAAATTTACAGGCATTTGACAGCACACAGGGCTGCGTTACTACAGTGCCCTCATGGAGAATGTGTTTGATGTACTAGTGCTGAGATTACATTTAGGGGAATAATATTGCAGGATGATTTTATAAGTAATTTCCCAACTTTGCACTCCTGGCAGTGAAAGAAGGAACAAACTTGCATTCATATGACATGCTTTTTAACCTCAGGACAGCTAAATTAAATATCTTTAGTAATGCAGAAATACAGGAATCACACACATAGGTTCCCGACAAACATTAACAAGACAAGACAAGAACCAGATATCCTGTTTTGAAGATGTGTGGGGAACTAATATCTGGGGAGAACTGGCCTATTCTTTTCTTTCCATCCTCATCAGGCAAGTTGAGTATATCATTGAAAAGGCAGCACCTCCAATACTACTGCATTTCCTCAAATAGCACAATCTGTCTCAAGTCTCTGGATTATGACTAAAGTTACAATCTTCTGATCCTGGGCTAAGTTCACAGGAACATAGCCTGTTTGCAATTTTTGGAAATTTATAAATGTCTTGCACAGAATTTTCTGGACACTAACTTCTTAGATTTATTTGTGGCTTCTTCGATGAGCAGTTGTGCTCTCAATTTCTTTTCTTTTTTTTGAAAACTTCACTTGAAGTAACTCATTAATTCCTTCATTATTTAAATAAAAAGTTTCTTTTTTAAATTTGTCCTTCTCTAAATTCTTCCTACTGTTCAAATTTCTTTTATTCACTCTGGAGATCACAGATGGTTCACTAATATTTCACTAGCACTTTATACAACATCAGAGTGACTCCTGAGGCTAATGATCTTTGGATTTTGTTCATTTCAACATTTTATTTGATACTGTAACCACTTCTCTCCAGTGAAATGGTACATTCAACTCACATTATCAAATGACAATATAATTTTACAATCAATTTTCCCCATTTTCAAACAGATATCATTACCTGACATTTATATTCGTAAATCACTTAAGAATCATCTTCCTAATCAGTAAATCTGGATTAGTCAATTCAGAGTTTACCCTTTCTCTGGGTCTTTAGCTTTGTTACTATGATCACTGTAGTATTTATAAGTATTGAATGCAAACAGCAGAGGATCCAGTTGGAACATAAGCGTTCTGGCAGTCCGTTCAGTTATGCATATTAAATTAATACTTTCTTCCACTATTAAATTGCTAATTTATTGTCAAATTTAATCCCTAGATCTGTGTTAGACATGGACCAGTGCTAGCACTTGAATCAAAAAATTGTTGATTCAAGCCCCAACTCCACAGAACTGAACGCACAATCTAGGTTGAAGCCCCAGTGAAGTACTGAGGGCACTGGGCACAATTGGAAATGCTGTCTTTCAGATGAGACATTAAACAAAGGCCCAATTTAACTTTTCAGTTCCTACATACCTATGTCAAACTACAACAGAGTTTTCCCCAGATGGCTGAGTCAATGTTGGTCTCTCAAACATATGACTAAAATAGATTATTTGATCATTATCTCAAGGCTGTTTCTGGTGACTTGCTGTGCACAATACTGTATTTCCTATATTAGAGGAACTCATAAATGCACTTCATGACTATGAAATGTTTTTGGGCATCCCAAGGTCTTGAAAGGTGCTACAAAAATGCTGGCTCTTTATTGCTTTAATCTTAAGAGCTTCCAATATTGTTGCAAGCATTCATTAAGACATTATAGTCAATTTCTTTTTAAAACCGTGACTTTGGAGTGTCGAATTTCCTGGAGTTGCATTCTGTCTTTGGAAATGCAATGATGCAGCATTCCTGCCTGCACGTTAGTATCCCTGAACCCAGGAAATGGGACTGGGGCAGTATCCAAATATTTTAGATGGGCAGTTGCTGAGGTCATTTAGATTGATGTTGGAACACAACGAGGAGGGAAGGAAGGAACACCATTGTGGTCAATTCATGTAATGTAGCTTATCAGGCAAGGTTGGGCAAAAAGTCTGTTCTGCAAGTCTGCAATTAACCACATAAATAGGCACTGGATCGGGGAAACTTGCCATTTAAAACTGCAACTATGTCTGCTCACCAATCACCGAAAACTCTAAGTGTGCCATCTCAACTTCAACATCCACACTTTGTAAACTTCAGCTATCTCCAAATAAAAACTGGAAGAACTGCGGATGCTATATATCATGAACAAAAACAAAGTTGCTGGAAAAGCTCAGCAGCTCTGGCAGCATCTGTGAAGGAAAAAACAGAGATAACGTTTCGGGTCCGGCGACCCTTCCTCAGAGCTCCTATCAGATAGTTATCTCTATCCTTTCTTGCATCAATGTCCTGCTCACACATCACCCCAATCTTTTTGATCAACACTGGCTTCCAACATCACAACTTCTCAAATTTAAAATTCCTATCCTCATATTCAAATGCTCATTGTTTTGTCCCTCTCTCTCCAGCTCTAAATTTCTCCTCAAATTTCATATTCATCTGACTCCAAGTTCTTGCAAACCTTTATTGGAGGCAGTGACTTCATTTGATCAAAGTCAGAATTGACAGGACACCAGGTTATATTCCAACAGGTTTATTTGAAATCACAGGCTTTCAGAGCACTGCTCCTTCGTCAGGTGAAGTGACTTCACCTAACGAAACAGCAGTGCTCCGAAAGCTTGTGATTTCAAATAAACCTGTTGGACTATAAGCTGGTGTCGTGCGACTTCTGACTTTGTCCACTCTAGTCCAACACCGGCACCTCCACATATTGGCATTCATTTAATCAGAACACAGATTATTGAGAGTAGTTTTTCTGAAGTGCTGCACCTCTTTAGAATCCACTCCTCCCTTAAGATCCCTTTTCACTACCTATTAAAACCCAATGCTTTGACCAAGCTTTTGGTCACACCTCCTATGCTCAGTTTTGTATTTTTGTTCTTACACTTGATTTTTTTTCTCCCTATGTTAATGGTAGTAAGTCACTGCAAGCTGCTTTGTGTGTACAGCCTAAAACTACACAATATACCCTACCTCCCAAAAAATATCACCTAGAAATTAAGCGATGACAATGAAATGGCACTTGTAAGTGTGATTTAAATCATCCAGTAATTCGGGTAAAGCAATTTGGCATTAGTAGCAGCAGATTGTATAGGAAACTTGATTATGCTTTTCCTGGTATGTTTAATAACATCTCCAGATGGTTAAATACAGATTTGATTTCTGCACTGGAGCAGTCACTCTTGGTGAGAATCTCACAAATAGTGAAAAGAAGTAAGAGAAAAAGCTTATGACATTGGTAAATCAGTATTTCTTGTACATATTAGTCCTCATATTGTCCATCAACTGCAGTGAAAACCACGCTTTGTTGGGACAATCAGTATGGGCATCCAGCTGGCACATTGCCAAAGAGACCACACCTCCTTCAGAATTGATGAGTTGAAAATACATTGAGGTCAGTCTTCAGCTCAATGACAATTGAGGAAATTTTGAATGATTTTTAATATTTTATAACAGTCAGGCTAATTTCTTTTAAACAGTTATAAACACTGCAACACTCCTTTAATGGTTTTTAGATTGGCCAGGGCCTACTCCTCAAATATAAATCAGCTTTTGGCTCACTCACCTTACCACTTCCCCACCCCTTGCTCACTTCCACACATCCACCCAATCATACTGCACCTAGAAATTAAAATTCCCACTTGTAAGATGTTAAGCAGGAGTGGTGACGTTACTGCGCAATAATCTGTGAAAGGGAACAATCCCTTCCTGCTATGGGTGGATACAAGATAGGATTTAATTATTTGGTTTCAAAGTTCCTTCAATAAACATGTGTTCATATGCTTTTGTTTGCAAAACAAATTGAGAATTGCCAGTCTTTATTGAATTAACAGTACACATAACATCTTCACAGGCAAAGATCCTATGCAAAAGAAATCAATAGGCTAATCATGTAGCCATTTATGAGATTTTCAATTTTAATGAATATCAACTTTATGAAAATAAATACTTTGATAGGTATAATTATGGACATGGTGGACAGTGTTTGTTGCTGTCTTAGTAATCAAGATGGTTCAACTAGTAATCCAGAGAACACATGTCCTATCAAGGTAGTTAGGTTTAAATGGCCTGGTGGCGGGGGGCAGGGGTAGCAGCAGCACAGTGGTTCAGTGGTTAGCACTGCTGCCTCACAGTGCCAGGGACTCAGGTTCGATTCCACCCTTGGTCAACTGTCGATATGGAGTTCACACATTCTCCTCATGTTTTCTCCAGGTGCTCTGGCTTCCTCCCACAGTCCAAAGATGTGCAGGTTAGGTGAATTGGCCACACGAAATTGCCCACAGTGTCCAGGGATGTGCAGCTTGGTGGATTAGCCATGGTAAATTCAGGGTTACAAGGGTAGGGTAGAGTAGGGGAATGGGTCTGGGATGCTCTTTGGAGGGTCGATGTGGATTCCTTGGGCCAAATGGCCTATTTCTACACTATTGGCATTCTAAGATTCTAAATGTCTGGAGGTAAGAATCTGACATTGATAACAGCAACTATAAAGTAGTCAACATTCCCCAACTGGATCACTAATGTTCTTTATAAAGTATATTACCCTCACATGTCTGGTTTATAAGTGACTCCAGTTCCACACTAATATAGGTTGACTCTTTCCTGTCCTCTGACCTTACCTTTGCAAGTCACTCAGTGTGCCACCCTCATCTCAAGGTCAATTAAACACAAGTTGTATTTGCCAACCTTGCCAGCAAATCCATATCCCAAATATGAAAGAAACATGCATCCGGTAATCAATTTGTTGTGTTTATTTCTATTCTTACCTCTTCAAAATGATGCAAAAGAACAGTGCTATATTTGAAAACTTCCCACAATCTGGCAGCTTGATATTTCAGACTGTGTACTTAGAATATCAGACACTCCAGTCACAAAACAGCCTCTCAATTATGCATGTTGAAAACAAAAAAAATGGCATTTTATCCAGGCTGTTAGAGTTCTTATATCATCATGCAAGTTGAAAAAGTGCCAGAGTGGGATATCAGTTTTGTATCTTCCTCTATCTTTGTGATTCAGTTTAGTTCAATCCAATAACATGTAAGAGGTACACATAAGAGCTACAACATAAAGACAGCAAGCTTACCATTCCACATCATCTAAAAACAGTAAAAGAATGATGGGTGAACCGCATCAAAGAGGGCTCAAAATAACTTGACAAGTGGCCCTAGGAAGTGAACAACCCTAAATTATGTGAATTTGTCTGTGTATTCTCAACCCTTCAGCATGCCAATCTGTAAAGAGGGATTGTAGAGTCTAAAACGATTGAGCTTATCAGGAAGTTCCAAAGGTTCATACAATTATCTTAGACTCAATGGGTCAGGCAACCTCCTTTAATGAATCTAACCAGAACACCAACTTGAACCAGTGTTACATCTGATAATCTGCTCTCTTTAGATAGATCTGTAGTAGTCAAATAATTGTATGCAATTGAAGGTGGACTGGCTACTGTCATAATGAGGATTGTTTGTTTGAACTGGAAAGAGAACAAAGTTTTCAATCAAATCAGACATCGCTCAACTGCCAAAAATGGGACTGAACATCACTTTATTTTCCAAACATAACTTCAATGAAGTCAAAATAAGAAGGGTGTTTACTTTCAAGCTTCTGCTTTCGGTAGTTAGCCTTGTGGTAGCAGGGTCATAGTTATAAAGCTAGTGTAAAATTAAGTCATTATATTTTGCAGAAAATTAAAAGTGTGGAGTGAGGAAAAACTATCTGTCTTACCAAAATACAAAAGAAAAGACCTTTTAAAACTTTTCCTGTCATATTCAAACAGCTTTCGTAATGTCATTGACAATATGCTCAAATAGCATGTGATGATTTAAATATGTATTCATATTTAAGTAACAGTAACCACATCCTCCATTTGCTAATTCTAAATGCAATTCATGCATGTCCTTCAATGTGATTTCAAACTGGATCACAATATAGAGTCATATAAAACTGACATCCTAGTCATACCTTCTTGTCTCGTATCAGAAGGATCACACCACACCAATTCAACTCAGTGCAGGTTAGCATCTGTAAACAGACCAGTGGTCTTGCACTATCATTACTGTACAGTTTTTTTTTAAATAACAGAAATGAACAACTCTTGCACTGCTTCAGGGTGCTAATGCAGTAATCATGTGTGCCTCACAAACCAGGAAGGTTGCAGACTCAAATACCCTTCCTTTTTTAAGTTAATTGATCTCATTGCTGTGGCAACATTAGTGATGCTACATTTCGCCTCAACACACTTGGGTTAGGAAGGTGGAAAAACAGTGTTGTTTACCTGTGTCCCTCGCAGAGAGTGATAGCATATGAGAAGCTGGATGAGGACTAGTTTACATATTTTCTAATCATGCTTAGCTACAATGAGTTCTGCAATCAAGCCTGACACACTGCTGATACTGCCATGATACACACATAAAAGATGGACACTTGAAACATGTATCAGAGGGTGACCAATGACAAAAGCACAATATGTTAAACACTGCCCACAAATCAGTAGCCCAATGTGATATAGGTGCTTTTAGGAATTGAGGTGGACGATTAATTAATGAAAGGTCACAGATTTAATAAAATTAACGAAAACCCAGTGGCTGAATGAATAAAAACAGAAGTTGCCGGAAAAGCTCAGCAGGTCTGGCTGCATCGGCGAAGGGAAAATCAGAGTTAACATTTCGGGTCCGGTGACCCTTCTGAATGGTCTTTTTTTTGGCTGTAAATTTTATGATTTTAGGAAGGAGAAGAAAAGTGACAGAAAAATCAATGAAGTTATTAAAACAAGCCAGCAATCAGAAATGAGACAGCACTGCTGTTTCTGTATTTGGATGTATTAACAAACAGCCCTTATTTGTAAAGAACGATAGCTGAGCTTAGAAACAAACTGAACAATGCATTAACTGGTTTGATATAAACAATCTGCACAAATCTTCAAAGTTAAACCCAAAAAGCTACCTTCAAAAATATAAGAGAACTGGTAAAATAGTAATTAAGAAATAACTTTCTGAAAAAAAAACACGACAAGAAAATAAAGCAGTCCATTGCGAAAAGCAAAGTACTACAAATGCTGGAAATTTCAAATCGAAACAGAAGCTCTGATGAAAGCAAATTGACTTGAAACATAAACTTTCCTTTCCCTCTCTACAGATACTGCCAGACAAGTTGAGTGTTTCCAGCATTTTTCATACTTTAAACCAATCCATTACTTAAGTAACATACCTGTAATGGTGCATAGCAATACAGCACTAAGGGAAAATGGTAAGTGGGTCATTTTCACAGCGTCAAGCCTGAAACAAGTTCCAAAGCAACCTTTAAAACTGCATGTATACTTTCCTTTATCTTCCTTCAATGGCAATTTTGGAAACACTAGAATCAATAACACATGAAAGTTATCAGCTCAAAGGTGCAAAGCACAAATTTATAAGATCAACATTGTTAGTGTTTATTTAGTCATTTATACATAGTTACACAACCACTTTGCTGAAAATTAATGTTCACCGTGCAGATGGAAATGTAGAAAGGCATAGCGAATGGCATTTTATCCCATGCAATGGTCTGTAACTAAGAACACAGGTTTCCTTCAGTAACTGCATTCCAGACTTTTATTTTAGTTGTTTGTAGGATGTGGGCATCACTGACTAGGTCAATTGATATTGAGGTGGTGAACCATCTCTTGTACCGCCGCACTACAATGAGAGGAGTTCCAGGATCTTGATCAATTGAGAATAAAAGAGCAGCAATAAATGTCAAAGTTCAGATGCTATGTAATTTTATAAACAGACATGGAGTGATGGTCTTCTGATATCCCTGCTCCCTTTAGATGCTACAAATGCTAATGCTGCTTCTCTATCCAAAGGCTTTTCCAAAACATGTCACAGCACTGCTTCTTAAGATGACAGCACATATCACTCTCTTTAGTCCTTCAAATCTATTTAAAAAGTAAAAAATTAGGAAACACTACATTGTAACAATTAAATTGCACAGTTTCAAGTTAGTTCTTCATGGGCATGTGTCTACAACACAAATAGCCTTACATTTGGCATGGATTGGTAATGTTTCGTAAAGATGCCATTGGCACTTATTGTTGGAATAAAAAAATGGACTCTTCAGTTGGGTAAAGAATAAATTTTACTTGATTAAGAATCACCAAGTATACAAGAATGCCTGAAATGCAAAATTCTCCATTCCCCAGATCTTGTGTCCTTCCCTATATGATCAGCAAAAAACTGGTAAGGAGATAGTGAATTACAATGATGGAAATGTCCATAAAAAAAAAAAACTTACGCGTAGTAAAAGAAACATACAATTCAGAGCATAAATAACTTCTCTCCATCCCCCACATCATGTAACACTGAGACCATTCAATATGAACAGCATTTTCAGCAATGCTTAGCAATGTTATTTCTTCATGTGCTGGTGACAACTGCCATGGTTAAGATCACAAACGTTACAAAATACAAACACTGGGACAGTCAGTTTATGATAAGGTAAAATGGAATAAAATGGGAGGAAGGCCATGATGGGTAGCTTATTTGCTGTGGAGGCAAATATGCACCAACTTGACTACTAAATATTTTCCAAATAGCCTGTTCAGAGATGTTATTTCACATTTCTGGAGCAAGCAAGACTTGAACCAGGCCTCCAGGCTCAGAGGTACTGCCACTGCACCACAATAGCTCCTCCAAGTTGATTTACTAGGAAGAAAGTACAAAATGTTCATACCCACAAACAAGTGGGGCCACCTGACTGTTTTATATGCTCTGAAATTAATCAATCGTTTTCCCCCTTTATGAAAATAGGCTGGTTTCAATTTCCAAGAAAGTCTAGATAGTCTCTTTAAATCCTCATGACACTGGAGCTAAAGATGAATATGAGTTTTATACCACCCAGATTAACAGTGGCCAAGTTTGAGTGACCATATGACAAGTAATCTTTCTGGGAAGAAGATAAGGGCAGCGGAGACTTGTTCAAAACATATTGCTCCACTCCAGATTATTCAGCAACATCCCAAAAATGCATGTATAAACAACAGTGGAGGACAGGATCTGGCTTGGCAATGATGATCCACTTGATCCCACTAATATTCACTATGTGATGTCACACACATATAAAATTGTCCATTGAGCAGGAATCCATGGGAAACTGATGCCTGCTTAACAAAATACCGTCAGCAGTCAATGCTTTCAGAAAAGAAAGAGATGAGAAAAAGGGCGGAAAACATCAACACATGTTTACATAAGCACCTTGATGCATACTTTCACCAGTGCTCAGCGAGATTATATTACCTCACAACTTACTCATGCAATCATTTACTTTGGGCATATCACTTTAGATTATCCACAAGCATTCCAAATGATAGATTTACTCAGTGGCAGCACTCTCACCTTGGAGTCAGAAGCTTGTAGGTTCTAGTCTCATTCCAAGATTGGATGAATATATAATTAAGGTTAACATTCATTGCAGGAGCAAGGTAGCACATGCTACTGAGATACTTCTAAACGAGAGATTAAACCAGTATCAGATGCATGTTAAGGAGCTTAAAGAATTATTTGAAGCTCAGTAGGGAAAATCATCCAAATTTTCTCCACAATAGTCATCCCTAATCAATACTACCAAAGCAGAGTAACTGGTCATTTATCTCCCTGGTACTCGTGGGACTTTTTATGCTGTTTCATTTATCTGCAGTGATGATATTTCAAACTAATTAATTGACTGCAAAACAGTATGGATATTACAGAGACTTAAAAGTTGTTATGTTACTACATTGCTCTGGCTTTTGTGGTGCAGTGGTAATGTCCTTGGCTAGAAGGTCTGTGCTAAAGTCCCACCTGCCCTGGAAGTAAGAAAAACTCTATGTGAATAGGTTGATTAAAATTACTATAACTAAGTTGCTTATTTCTTTATAAAACCATAAGTTATAGGAGCAGAATCTGCTCTGCCATTCAATCATGGGTGATGTTTCTCAACCACATTCTCCTGCCTTCTTCCCATTAACCCTTGATCCCCTTACTAATTAAAAATGTGCCTATCTCTGTCTTACATTCACTCAATGATTTGGCTTCCTCAGCCCTCTGTGGCAATGAGTTCCAGAGAGTCACCATCCTCTGGCTGAAGAAATTCTTCCTTATCTTTTCTTATAACGATGATTTTCAAAATAAACCTACATAATTTTAATGTTCAGAAGTTGTTAGTGTAAATAATCAAAACTATGATTTGTGGGGAATGATGAGGATACTTTTTATAGTATCCTGCAATGGTTCCATTTGTAAATGCACTATGCAATACTTTAGCGAGTGTAAGAACATGTGTCCATTCTGGCTTCATCCCAATTGCTGGCTAAATGAATGGACCTCAGCTAAGTTAGCTTGAAAGCACCAAAGGGATCAAAATTTGATTCCTGCTTATGATTGGTACATTGTACCTGTGAAATGTCTGATGCTGTTAGATGAAGTTAGGAGTATAATTAATTATTATAGTTCGGTCTACTCAATGTTGAATAGTTTGCCTTTATTCCCAATCTCAGTTTTCAGATAAATAATGGGCACTTAAGTAATGTTGCAGGAGCATACGTTTCCCTGCTTCAAGTAGAATTTTATTATTCATTTGTGGGGTGTGGGCATTGCTGGCTAGATCAGTATTTAGTGCCTTTCATCATCTGCCCTCAGGAGTATAGTGGAAACGCGTCTTCTTGAACTGCTTGGGGAATAAGCACACTGTTACAAAGGGAGTTCCAGGATTTTGATTCAGTGGCAGTGAAGGAATGACAATATAGTTACAAGTCAGGAGGGGCTTAGAGGGGAAGTTACAGGTGATAAAGTAAATGGAAGAATTTAAGAAGGTAAAAGTGAGATAAAATGTATCAATTTGAGAAAAGGAAAATGGTCAATGGAATTTTAAAAATATGCATTCTTCCCAATATCTCTGGGTTTTCCCCCCTCATTACTCAACTGAGCTACTAATAATAAAGAATTGAGCATTCATAATACATACATTACACAGCTAATAAAAACTCTTGCCAATAATAACTCAGCAATTCCACTGACATTAGGAAATATTTGAACAAAGTGTGACTCTGATCAATAATCCTCAGAAGCCTTCAAGTACTAGATTCGAACAAAGTAATAAAACATACCAGTGTTCCACATGCAATATTTTCTTAATTTTAACAGGCTCCAATTATTTAATTTTGAGCTGTATGTAAAATCTTACTCTATTCACAGTTAAAAGGTCACGCTTAAGATATCAACCGATTTCTCCTCACCCCACACATCGCTGTCAGTTTCCTCCACACTTGCTATTTCTGGAATATACGAGCTGATTTCAGATTTACAACACTTGTAATTTTGTTTACAAAACTGATGCCTATTGACACGTTTTTAAGTTATATTATTAAACCACACGATTCTAATTTGGTCTCCAGTATTGTTTACTAACTAGGCCCGTGACACCGAAATGTCAAAATAACGTGACTCCAACCCTATCTTCCGTCAGAATCTCTTCAAAAAAAAAGTCAAAGTATTGTCTTGCAGGCTCTTGGTCAATCTATTATATTGCGTTGGAAGATTTGTTAACCCTTTGCCTTGATTTTAAAATATGGTCGGCTATTTATACTTACATTTGAATACTCTTTCGATTAGCAGCCCTAATTGAGTAATTTGACCAAGACCACAACACAGTGTGTGAATCGTCCTTTTTCTGGTCTATTTCGGGATGAATCTGAAGGAAGAAACATTGATTCACCGAACACCTTTATACAAAAAAAGCGGTCCTTTTCCCCCCAACGGGTTCGCATCCCTGCAGATTTCTTCCTCCGAGAAGTCAGTGGTTTATGTACCTGCAGAGCTTACAGGAAACCATGTTAGGATGAGGAGGATAAAGTTACCCTTGCACATCAGAACAGACTAACCAAGAATCATCTCTGTACGCCGTGCCCCCCGCCCAGGGGTCTCCAGTTATATTGTATTCTACAAAGATAAATATGCTGACTTGGCACTTCAGCTCAAGCAGTCAATCCACACCAACGTGGTCCATTCCCACTATCATACATTTCGCAAATGCTTAACACATTGACTTGGCATCAATATAGCTTCAGTAGGAACGTCGAACCTCGAACCTCAAGGTTAATACGCGTACATGCTCCTAAGAAACTGCTTCTCTGTACCTGCGTGGATAGCCGCTCGCGACACAGCATCTCCACTCAACCAAGAGGGTGGGGTTTGAGTTCATCCCAACCTCCTCTAATAGCGTTTCTTTAATTTTTTTTTAAAAGAAACGTCTCTTCCCTCACTCTCACACTTCACTCAAACGTGTAATGCACTCAAACGTGTAATGCCATTTCTCCCTCAAGTGGCTTCAAATAGCCGGCGGTTTGTACGCTGACACCAACCCACTCCGCCGATAACCGCTTCCAAGAACAGAAGCATCAATGCCGGCCCACTGCGTGATGTGAGCGCGTCGCGTCCCCTCTGCTCCAATAACTGGATTCCCGTTGTAAGGTACCACATGTGATGCTGATGGCTCTTGCTACACGAATAGATATGATGTGGCGCCGCTCCAGGATCTAACTTCAATTTAGCCACAGCAGATCCCTGCCTATTGTTCATAGCTGGCATCAAGTAGAGTGACGCTCTCAGTACATTTCAGTGTACTACCAAATGTCACTCCCTTACACAATGAGTTCTAGGTGATTTTATTACACACTGGGCACTTTGTTCTTCAAAATCTAGCTAGCACTTACATTAAGGTAATGCCAATTTATGAAGCAGGAACACCCACAAATCCCGCCTTAAGGTCCAATGCTGCACAAGAAATACCTTCTTTAGAATTAATAGCAAAATGTGGTTGGTGGGGGTGTTTAAATTAATTTGGCAGGGAGGTGGCATACCAATTGGAGGTACAGTAGGGGTGATGCGCAGACAAGTATAGCAGAACCAAGTCAATCTAGAAGGCCGAACAAATATAGTCAAGTTAAATCACAAGGGGGCATGGTAAGGCTAGATGGTATTTAACTTTAAAGAAGGATTCTTGCGAGCAAGGCAGATAACAAGGTCTCAAAACAACAGATACCCTAAGAGTGTAGAAAGTGCTGCAGGTCACTCTAAAAAATTTAGGAGAGTGAAGGGGGGGACGTGGAAAAAAAAACAATGGAGAGAACATTAAGGGCAAGAAAATAACTAGGTACAGGCACAACAGAGTCCAAAGTGGTAATTTGTGCATACAGCCAGAGACATAGCTGAAGCTGTAAATGAGAATACAGCTGTATTCACTGTAGAAGACAACATAGATTTAAAACCTTGGAGGGGGAAGTGTGATACACTTGAAAACAAATAAACATTGAGAGGGAGGAGAAGGGATTAGTAGTTTTAGCAGGCTTGAAAGTGATAACAGACCAGGTCCAGATGAGACACATCTCAGGTACCTGTGGGAGGCAAAGGCTCTGACATTCATTTTGAAATCATCTCTGGCCACAGGAGGGGTATGAGAGAACTGGAAGGGAACTCATGTGGTACCATTACTCAAGAAGGTGGTTATGGGTAAACCAAGAAACTCCAGGCCATTGAGTCTAACATCAGTGTTAGGCAAATTATTGGAAAAAATTCTGAAGGACAGAATTAATCTCCACTTGAAGAGGCAATGATTAATCAAGGCATGGCTCTGGAAAGCGGGACATTATGTTGAACAAATTTGTAACTAGGAATGACTAGCTGAGTTGATGCAGTCTACACAGACTTCAATAAGACTTTTGACAAAGTCTCACGTGGCAGGCTGGTTAAGAAACAAACAGCTTGGATATCCAGAGCAACTTGCCAAGTTGGATCCAACACTGGTTTAGCTACATGAAGCAAAAGGTGATGGTCAAAGGGTGCTTTTAAGGCTGGAAGCCTGTATCCAATTGTTTACCAACAGGGTTAAATACTGGGTCTCTTGGTATGGTCAGCAAGTTTGCAGATGACACAAAAATTGGTAGTGTAGGAAATAGTAAGGAGGAAAGCCTTAGAATACAAGGTGATACAGGTGGGCTGGTCAGAAGGGTTGAACAATAGCAAATGAAATTTAACCCATTTTGGGAGTCAAGGAAGTCCATGTTAAATGGTAGAATCCTAGCAAGTACAGAGGAATCTTGGTGTACATGTACTTACATCCTTGAAGGCAGTAGAACAGATAGAGGAGTTGATTAATAAGGTGTATGGGATACTTGACTTTATTAGTCAATATATTGAATACCAGGACACGGAGGTTGAAATGGAGTAGCACATAATGTTAGTTAGGCCATTGTTTGAACACTGTACAATCTGGTCACCCCACTACAGGAAGGATATGATTGCAATTGAAAGGGTGCAGAGGAGATTCACCTGGATGTCACCTGGGCTAGAACAAATCAGCTATGAAGACAGACTAGACAGCTAGGGTTTTCCTTGGAGCAGAGAGGCTGAGAAGGCAATTGATTGTGGTGTACAACGTTATGAGGGGACAAATATAGGATAGACAGGGAGAAACGTTTCACCTTTTATAGAGACATCAACAAGGAGGCACAATTTTAAGATAAGGAACAGTAGGTTGAGAGGGGATTTGAGGAAATTTCACACAGATGTTGGTGGGTATTAGGAACTCGCTGCCTTAAAAGGTGGTTAAAATCCCCCAAAGCATTTGAGTATTTAGATGAGTATTAAAATGATATAGTGTACGTGATGGGCCAAGTGCTGGAAAATGGGATTAGAACAGGTAAATGTTTGATGACTTGCATGTACATGATGGACCGAAGGGTCGTTTACCATGCTGTTACAACTCTTTGATTAGTACCTAAACCATGTCCCTGTAAATGGGCATTTTATGACTAAAATGAAGAGATCACCATTGGTTAACTGTAAAAAACTGCCACACCTGGTAATTGTATCCACAACCTCTTTGGCAGATTGTTCAACAACAGTATTGACCAAAACTGCTACTGAACAAAATTAACTTGGGCAACATACATGAAAACCTTCAGATTAGAACATCACGACACCAAAGTTTATAAATGAATTCAACAACTGAGTGAACATCCATTTTAGATATCCATATCCTATCACATAAAGATGAAGTTAAAATGAGGAAGTCTGAATATAAAATTAAACAATTAAGATAAATTATTTTCAAAAAAGCTCACCTAAACAGAGTTAAAGCTGAAAGTTCACTATGTTAAATGCAAGGAATGTAAAAACACAAGACATTTTTTAAGATGATGATCTTGAGGTACAATAAATAAGTTGGAAGGGGATCAAGATACTGGTGGGGAGATTTGCTAGAGCTGAAGGTAGGAGCAAGGTAGGAGCAAGGTGGGACCAAGGAAGATAGTGAGGAAAAAGATCAGTCTGAAACTGGTACCGTTGGGAAAAGGAGCAAGTCAAACAGTCAGGGCAGGCAGGAACAAAGCAGAGAACAGAGAAACAGGACAGAAATAAATGCAGTTTAATTTATCAATGCAAGACATCTAACAGGTAAGGCAGGTGAACTCAGGACATTGTCGGGAACACGGGACTGGGATATCATAGCAATTAGAGATGTGGCTCAGGGATGGACAGGACTGTCAGCTTAGTGTTCCAGAGTATAGATGCTATAGGAAAAATAGAAAGGAGGGCAAGACAGGAGAGGGAGTGGCATTTTTGATTAGGGATAATATTATGGCTGTACTTAGGGAGAATATTGCCGGGAAAACATTTAGGGAAGTTATTTGGGTGGAACTGAGAAATAACAAAGGGATGAACACCTTATTGGGATCATACTGTAGACCAACACTGCCCCCCACCTCAAACCCACACACACACAAAGTTGCAAATTGAGAAACAAATTTATAAGGAGATCTCAGTTATCTCTAAGAATAATAGGGTGGTTATGGTAGGGCATTTTAACTTTCCAAAAATAGACTGGGACTGCCATAATATGGAGAGGAATGTGTTAAGTGTGTACAAGAAAATTTTCTGATTCAGTATGTGAATGTATCTACTAGAGAAGGTGCAAAACTTGACCTACTCTTGGGAAATAAGGCAGGGCAGGTGACTGAGGTGTCAATGCGGGAGCACTTTGGGGCCAGTGACCATAAATCTATTAGTTTCAAAATTGTGATGGAAAAGGATTGACCAGATCTAAAAGTTAAAGTTCTAAATTGCAGGAAGGGCAAATTTGATGGTATTAGGCAAGAACTTTCAAAAGTTGCTTGGGGGCAGATATTCACAGGTAAAGGGATGGCTGGAAAATGGGAAGCCTTCAAAAGCGAGATTAAAATTGTTCAGAGATAATATAGGTGTAGGAAATGCTGGATGACCAGAGAGATTGAGGTTTTGGTCAAGAAGAAGAAGGAAGCATATATCAGGTACAGATACCAAAGGTTGAGTGAATCCTTAGAAAAGTATAAAGGCAGTAGGAGGATACTTAAGAGGGAAATCAGGAGGGCAAAGTGGGGACATGAAATAGCTTTGGCAAATAGGGTTAAGGAGAATCCGAAAGGATTCAACAAATACATTAAGAACAAAAAGGTAACTAGGGAGAGAATAGGGCCCTTTAAAGATCAGCAATTCCGGCTATGTGTAGAACTGCAGGAGATGGGGGAAAACACTAAACGAGTAGTTTGCATCAGTGTTTACGGTGGAGAAGGATATGGAAGATAGAGATTGTGGCGAAATAAATAGTGACATCTTGAAAAATGTCCATATTACAGGGGAGATGGTGCTGAATATCTTGAACCGCATAAAGGTGAATAAATTTCTTGGGCCTGATCAGGTGCACCTAGAACCCAGTGGGAAGCTAGGAAAGTGATTGCTGGGTCCTTGGCTGAGATATTTGTATCGATGATCGCCACAGGCAAGATGCCGGAAGACTGGAGGTTGGCTAACGCGCAGCCACTATTTAAGAAAGGTGGTAAGGAAAAGCCAGGGAACTACAGACTGGTGAGCATGACATCAATGGTGGGCAAGTTGAAGTGAATCTTGGGGGACAAGATTTACCTGTATTTTGAAAGACAAGGAATGATCAGAGATAGTCATAATGGCTTTGTGCTTGGGAAATCGTGTCTCACTATGTTGATTGAGCTTTTTGAAGTAGTAACTAAGAGGATTGATGAGGGCAGAGCAGTGGACATGATTGATATGGACTTCATTAAGGCATTCGACAAGGTTACTCATGGTAGACTGGTTCACAAGGTTAGATCACATGGAATACAGGGAAAACTAGCCATTGGATACAGAACTGGCGCAAAGGTAGAAGACAGAGGGCAGTGGTGGAGGGCTGCTTTTCAGACTGGAGGCCTGTGATCAGCAGTGTGCCATAAGGATTGGTGCTGGGTAGATTATTTTTCATCATTTATATAAGTGATTTGGATATGAACATAGGAGATATGGTTACTAAGTCTGCAGATGACACCAAAATGGGAGGTGTAGTGGACAGCAAAGAAGGTCACCTCAGAGTTCAACGGGATCTTGATGAGATCAGCCAATGGGCCATAAGGTGGCAGACTGAGTTTAATTTAGATAAATGTGAGGTGCTGCATTTTGGAAAGGCAAATCAGGGCAGAACTCCTACATTAATGGTAAGGTCCTGAACATAGAGACCTTGGAGTGCAAGTTCATAGTTCCTTGAAAGTGGAATCACAGGTAGATAGGATAGTGAAGGCGGTGTTGGTATGCTTGCCTTAATTGGTCAGTGCATTGAGTACAAGAGTTGGGAGGTCATATTGGGGCTGTACAGTACATTGGCTAGGTCACTTTTGGAATACTACATTCAATTCTGGTCTCCCTGCTACAGGAAGCTTGTTGTGAAATTTGAAAGGATTCAGAAAAGATTTGCAAGGATGTTGCCAGGACTGGAGGATTTGAGCTATAGGGAGAGGCTGAATAGCCTGTGTTCTTTTTTACCCTGGAGCAAAGGCTGAGGGATGACCTTAGAGATTTATAAAATCATGAGGGGCATGGATAGGGTAAATAGACAAGGTCTTTTCCCCGTGGCAGGGTGAGTCCAAAACTAGATGGCATAAATTTAAGGCGAGAGGGAGAAGATTTAAAGGGACCCAAGGGGCAACTTTTTCACGCAGAGTGTGCAGCATGTATGGAATGAACTGCCAGAGGTGGTGGAGGCTGGTACAATTACAACATTTAAAAGGCATCTGGATGGATAAATGAATAACTGTTTAGAGGGATATGGGCCAAATGCTGGCAAATGGGACTAGATTCATTTAGGATATCTGTTCAGCATGGATGAGTTGGACCAAAAGGTCTGTGTGTGCTTACGTCTCTGACTCTATTACTCTATAAATCCATATATATTTGATAGATAAAAGAAATACTTACATTTATATTGTACTGTTCATGACCACAGGTCATTTCAAGGTGTTTTTCAGTCAATTTATTATTTGAGGAATAGTCACTTGTTGTAATGCAAGAAATGTGACAATCACTTTTGCATATAGCAAGCTCCCACAAATAGAAATGTCATAATAATCAAATAATCTGATTCTTGTTATTGATGGCGATATAAATATTGGCCAGAACACCAAGGACCTTTCCCAATCTTCTTACAAATACAGCCATGAGATCTTTCGTGTCCACTGAGGGCAGACGCTTGATTCAATGCCTTATTTAACAGACAGCACCTCTGACGATGCAGAATCCAGAACACTGTGCCACAGAAATGAGTGAACTACCCACTGAGTCATAATTGACATTCAATCCCTACCTACTACCTAACCAGAAAGACACACAATTGTCTTTTAAATTCATCATCTTCTGTAGCTCCTCATAATTTATTTCCGTAGAATTTTTTTAAATGTGGAAAACAAAGTGAAAGATCCAACAGTGTTGAAGACTGGACAAAAAAAAGACCCAGACCTTTTCACAAATCTTAGCATCAGAAATCCAGTACAAGAGATTTCCAAATAACAGTGATTTGGTAAATAGGCAAATCCACGAAATCAGCTTTGTTAGAGCAAGGTTTAATAACAATTTAGAAATAAAGATGGTCAATTTACAACCACAGTCTTCCTGAATGATAAAATAATTCTACTTTTCATTACGCGCTTTACAACAAAATCTCATCTCAAAGGCATGACAATGTACTCATTACTGAGAGCCACTCTTCATATTTCAAAGCTTGAACAGACTGTTATCTGTTAAAAGGTCCCATGAGGAAATGAGCTTGAATTAATGGCTATTCTGAAGTAATGGACCCAACCTTCCAGGACGCATCTAGGCTAGTGAAAGATATTTCATTCCAAAAGATCTGAGGATCATTTTTTTCATGAATGAAGTTAAACAAACTGAAGCCTTTCCTGCATGAAAGGGAGCAGAGGAAATAACGAAAGATAAAATTCCTTTCTTGGAAAATGCAAATAAAGAGAATAGTCATGCACTATTTGTCAATTTAGAATATAATCACCCATAAGTTAATAGTCCAAAGAGATATTGATTCATTGAAAATTAATCAGTTAAATTCACATTTTCCATGTCAGATTAAACTTAAGAGTTTTGCTGCAGTGTGAATATGCTGTATTGGCCTAATAAGTTCAGTATCTGAAAGGATATGTGGCTGAAATCCTGGAGTGGTTGATGATTTTCTACCTTCTAAGGACTCATAAGTGTTCAGAATAGGACTATTAACTTGCCGATAAAAAATATAAACCAAAATCTTAAATAATCTAAGAAAAAAATCTTTCAAACAGTATTTTAAGACCCTCTTAACTACCCCACGTTTATCAGCCTGAGGACTCACTTTAAAAAGTTGCTGAAAACTTTCTTTACTGAGAATTGGTCACTGGTGACAGTAGTAATGTTGGTACATAATAGCAGAAAGACCATTGGTTTTAGGCTTCTTCCCAGTATTCTGTTTGTCACGAGTCATTAAACCATGAGTCATCTTGAAATAAAAAGGAACATTTGCTTCTATCACTACTGATTGCTGTTTTGAGGAAGATGTGAATAATTTTCCCCACTTAATTAGCAGTTCCTGTTGAAAGTGATGCCTACGATATTTGCTTCAGAAAGCTATGGAAAACCCGAAATGCATAATTTGACATACTTCTTAATGTGGTACTATGGACTCAGGCCCAGGCCCACTTCCCAAATCAGACTTGATACATTCTTTCCACATGATAGTCGTGCTTATATACCTGAAACCATCCTTAGTTGTCCTCTGAACCATTTCCTAGCACCTTAGTTTGTTGGAAGGCTTGACTCTTCTCCTGACCCCAAGAACTATGCTGATGAACAAATAATACTCACCAGGTCAAAATGTAGTGGTCAATGTAGTGGGTTAAGATTAGGCAGTTGACCTGCACACATCGAAACGTATTTCTACTGCCAACACAATCCAAGACAAGGCCTAGACCCGAAACGTCAGCCTTCCTGCTCCTATGATGCTGCTTGGCCTGCTGGATTCATCCAGCTCTACACCTTGTTATCTCAGATTTTCCAGCATCTGCAGTTCCTACTATCTCCAAGACAAGGCAAAACTGTTTTCTACTTAAAATATAAACCAATTATGGAAAACTCAGTTGCTGGATGCATGGTAAGATAATACCATGAGTGGAGACAAGTGTGTTGCATTGCACAGACAGCAATGTAATAAATTAATGCCTTCTACACAATTCAGCATAGGAAACAAACTTCACTAATCACTGTCCAACACAGAGTTCCCAAAACTACACACAGTATTCCAAACACAGCTCACCAATGTGAAATAAAAGGTTAAAGTAATTTATTTGAACTGAAATGCTTTAGAAATGCACTAAGTATTATATTTACCATATCAATAACAGCGTCATATTGCCTGGGCACTCACTGGATGATCAATAATCTCATTTAAGTCCTTTTGTTTCCACTTTTGCTAGTGAATATCCCTCATTCCTGTTCGCATTTTACATTTCCTGTTTCAAAAGCATAACTTTAAATAACAAGCAAATACTGCTCATGCTGGAAACCTGAAATATTCAGCAGATCGATCAGTATTGTGCAAAGAGAAACGCTAAATGGCTCTGACATTCACTTGGAGCAGGATTTGACAGTTAGGAGGAATGAATTTTGGCCAGGAAGACCATATACTTGAGTTTGACATCTTTTGTTTTCCAATCCAGTCCTCTGCCCAGAAGCAAGCTGGTGTGAATCCCTGCATAGCAAACAATCTGAAGGAAATCATAAGCCAGCGGCTGGCAGGGTGAATACAGCAGATTTAAAGCAAGGTGAAGTCCAGATCTTGCAGATGCTCACAGATTCCAGTGAGCCCAAGCCCTGATGGACTGGTTAGAGGTTGCAGCCAAAGTGAGGGTGGGAAGGGGATATAAACATAGCAATAGGATGAGGCCTGTTCCTATCATCAGGCCTGCTCTGCTATTTAATTAGATCACGCTGATCACTACTCCAGCCCCTTTTTGTTTGTTTTAAAATGAAAGAAGGGAGCTCTACATTGCTGATAGGAGATTCTGCTCAGGTGTCCCTCAAGCGCCAAGGCATACAACTATTCTGACAGTTCTTTCATAGTGCAGAACTATCTGAGGAAGGCAAACTACAACTTTTCACAGCAGTCAGCTGCTATATTTTGAAATTTAAAGGTTCTGATAGTTGCTATTAAAAAGTACGTAAGGCAAGTGTCAGGGGTTCTTGAGGTGCAGTGGCAGAAGACCCAGGTTCAAGTCCCACCTACTCCATAACATGTTTGAACAAGTTTGTTCAGAGGCCGGTAGTGGTTGTAGGCAAATTGAAGCCAAGGGATTCTATGTACAGATGAAGCTGGGTGGCAACAAGAAGTTCATTGATAACTGGTCACTAGTCTATAGACCAGTGACAGAAGTCTTTTTGCCTGTCAACAACTTTGTGATACAGCTTGGGGCTGGAACAAGCTGCAGAGAAGTGTACTGGTCTCCACCAGAACAGAAACCCGTTTCTCTGTTCGCTGCAGTCAAACCCATCTTAAACCTAAAGAAAACCAGTTAATTTTGCCTAGCATTTTGCCTTCAGCAGTTGTAAGTTGCAATTTTAACTGACAATTCAGAAATCTTTTATAAGTGAACCAGCCACCCTGTGTCTCTTGCAAATCAGTGGAAGCATCTGGGGGAAAAAAAACTGAAACACAATGTGCTGACCAGCACAAGAATCATAAGGACCATCTCACAAACCTTTGAATATGAACCACTGACCTGCCTCTCAATTCTCCTTTGCTCATAACCTCGTCTGCTTGTGTGCACATTGACACACAGAAGCAATAGGGAGGTTGTAACAGATAGTTTTTAATTTGTAGTGTTATATGCCAACATATAACCGTTTACCTGTAGCTAGAGTTTAACTACTTCTAATAAAATACTAATTCTTGTTAAGAACAAAAGTCCGGTCCATGCTCTCTGTCAACCTGCGTCTGAAAATCAGGTAAATTGGGGAATTTTGTGTACTTTATTTTAAAATCTTTAACTTTTGTGATGACTCCAGGAATAGTGGGACTTGATTTCCAGTGTGCTATCGTAGTGAGCTGTGATAGCATTCATCACACTGGAGGAATTATAACACTTTCTAGAAGATCCTGTGGCAGTTGTGGATCCCTTTATCCAGAGATTTTCCATTCAGCGGGTGGTGGCAGGTCTTCTGCCTATTAATATTATAAATTACAAAGATAGAGATTCAATCAATCATACATTTCACCATTTCCAACCAATTTGCCGAAAGATATTATTAAGTAGCAGCCTATAAAGTACTAGTATACTTTAATACCTTTGTCAGTTTCACAGGAGTACAGATTTCCAAAACCATCCTTATCAGAATTTGCAACGGCTTGATGAACAGTACAACAACTGCCACCTTTACAAACCTGCTTGATACAGTAAATAACCAATAAGGATTATCACTCTGCACTACTAACAAATTTCATTCATATTCTGTTAATAATCACTTGAACAAACTATCAAGATATATTTCGCCCTTTCCAAATTTGATACCTTCTCAGCCTGACTGGCCACTCAAATAATTAAGAGTTGAAATTCCCATTCCTAACAATCCACGTCACATATAACCATAACTTTATTTCTAAGTCCTAGAAGAGGTTCAAAAAGACAAATTAGTTCAGGAAAATTCAAGAACAAGGCAACATATGGAAGATTTCACTTTGCGTATACTGCAGGAAAATAATCTGGAAGTAAGGTGTCATTTCTCACTTCCCCACCTCCCACCCCCCGGCCCAGTATGCTAACAACCACCTTCACCAAAAGGACTACAATTGGTCAGAAGACCCAGCCATCACAATGCCAATTAAGAATGGGCATTAAATGCCAGCCTTCCTCACAACACCCACATACCACAAATAAGTACAGTTCAATATATAGAAAGCTATGGATAATTCATGTTATTCTCCAGTTGTATGTATTGTCTCTCATTGATGGAAGTTGTAAGTCCCAAAAAATGAGACAACAGCCTCATAAGGTTTACTACATGCAATGTTGAAACCTGCCCTTTATTTGTAGTGCAGAAATATCATTTAACCCTTACAGTCTAAAAACCTAAACTAAAAACATACATAGAAATAACTGCTATTGAACTGCTTCAGAATCAGAGGGAGAACATAAACTTTGAGCAAGCTGTTTACTCTGTGCTTAGTGGCCTCAGCAAGACTCAATAAATCCAAATATGAATCAATTCTTTTTCTCACTAATAACTAAGTGGCGATGGGATAGCTTGTATGCTGCAAAAAAAAATACAATAAACTTCTCTCATGTGGAATTCAGTTACATCACACCTGCTACAGAAAGTTCAGATAATACAATTCTCAGGCTTTAGCGAATGCTTTTCTTTCTCACAGTGTTTCAGTCAGCTGGTGTCCTTGCAAATACTCTCCCATCTGACTTTCCTTCCACACAGAACAATGGAATCAGCAACTCCTGGTCACTGTAGAAAGGGAACTTCCGTCCTATACAAAATAAAAACCAAAAGAACTCCGGATGCTGTAAATCAGGAACAAAAACAAAGTTGCTAGAAAAGCTCAGCAGTCTGGCAGCATCTGTGGAGGAGAAAACAAGGTTAACGTTTCGGTTCTGGTGACCCTTCCTCATAACTGAAGAAGAACTCAGAACATCAGTTCTGAGGAAGGGTCACCGGACCCAAAACGTTAATTCTGTTTTCTCCTCCACAGATGCTGCCAGACCTGCTGAGCTTTTCCAGCAACTTTGTTTTTGTTCCATCCTATACACTACTGCATTTTGCTTTTCTATCACTTTGGATCATTGCACCATTACAAAAAAGAAAACTTGCATTTACTCATGAAAATTTTCTTGGGAAAATAAAACACATTCTGATTTTCTAATAAGTGGTTATAAGATTTCTTTATTCTCAACATTAATATTAGGAACATATTTAAAAGCAAAGATTGTGTTTTATCAATTACACATTGATATTTAAGAGGACGGTGACTTCTGCCGTCTTCATAATTTAAGATTACATTTTACATAATGCATCTTGAAGCCTTCTGCACTCTACAAGTGCACCAACGTCAAATTTCTAAGCTCTCTGAACACAGCTATAATGATAAAGAAACAAGACAGCAACCTTAAAAAGCATTCTGTCACAATGTTTTAAAAACAAGCTGCAGGGTAATTAAGTTATACTCAGCAAGGCAAGAGATGTGCTAATGAACGAAACAATTACCACTGAAAGAACTCTGCTTCAGCATTAAGCATACACAGCCTATTAGAATCTCTGCTCCAATAACACAACTTAATGCCTATATCACCACAGCTGAAACTTTCCTGTTTCACTAAATCTACTCCTCTGGTTCTTCAGAAGGCGATTGGAAACACAAGTGTGAACTGGCATGATCACTTTAATCAGGAAAACATGATAAGACAGCTGATCATTCAAAGTACTCTGAATAACTGAGTTATTACAAATCACCTCAGTAGAGATTTCATGTGTATTATATTCTGAGTGTTGCCTTCTACTCTACCCACCACAGCTAAGACTCACAATATGACATCAAAGTCACACAGGAGCCCCCAGTGATCACTGCAAAAACGCCCACAATCCAACTTGTCTTGTCCAACAAGGGTCATTTGTTGTGGAACTATCTGCCCTTCACTGGCTGCCCTGTAAAACACACGATCAAAGCGGAGTCTGCAAGTGTACTGAGCTTTCAGGTTATTATTAGTTTTTGTGTCCCAAGTATACCGACAATGTTCAGGTTTGTTTAAGAACTCCCAGACATCCAAGACACCTTCCGGCAAACCTCCAACCTTTGTAACCTGTAAATAAAACACATGTTGAGAAAAGATGATAGATCTTTGCAGTGCTTTAACACAAGTCACACACTGACATGCACAAACCTCCTCCTTCAACTTCAACATCTTAGAATGAAATTGGGTGCAAGCCAAGGGATTTGTAGCATGTAGTGAGGTAACAACTGACAAGTTACTTTCAGCAACTCTAGCACAAAGATGCCTGGTATTTCAAAGTACTCCCAAGCTAATAATTGCTCATTTTATTTACTTGTGAGTTGACATCAGAATAAAGTTTTTAAAAAGTGTGCTTTGGATAGCAGCTAAGGGCTTATGGAAGCAGAGATTGTAAGTGCACTCTGTTACAAAAATTCTGAAGGACTTTTACAAAGAAAACCTAAAGATCATTCCTTTCACTCCAGTATAAAATTAAATCATATTGGTAAAACTGTTCAAAAGAAAACTGCATAATAGAAATCACAAACTGTTTAGGTGTAACTGATTATAAAAGGAAAACAAAACAGAATTACACATCAACAATCACCATAGGCAATGTTTGAATTCCTGTGACACGTCCCCCCCACCCCAAGAGGCACGTTCATGCTAATAGCTTCTCTCTTACAAAGTTCAGGTCTTGAATTCAGAAGCAAGGAGCACTGGATGACAGATTAGAAACGAAGACAAAACAAAAGAATGAGGTACCATACTGTGCCAGTGCAACAAAAGTCTGTTAAAGCATCAAATATTTTCAGCTAACATCTGCCTTTTGGAGTTGTGATCAGCATTTTCATGGTGACCTTAATTGTGCACATTGTGTATACCAATGTAATATCACTAACTACTGTCAAAATGGAACTAGATTTTAATCAAAAGGGGCAATGCGCGCACAGTGAATACTCAGCACATATATCACTGTGTAACGTCATAACATGAGACACACTAGGGCTGTCAGTTAACTCTTCACGTAGTCAAGTACTAAGGAATGTGGAATCTTGGCAAGTTGTTGTAATACATCTTGTAAATGCAAATTGCTACAATTGTGCACCACTGATGTAGAAAGTTAATGTTTAAGGTGACAGATGATGTGTAAATCAAATAGGTTCTTTTGGTTTGGGTGGTTTCTAATTTAGTGTGCTGCTGAAGCTCAACTCATCCACCTAAGTGCATCATATACTTTACTTATGTCTTGTGGATACCAGGCAAGTCAGGTGATGAGACCTTGTTAAGAACTCCTAGCCTCAGACCTGCTCTAGCAGAGTGAGGGTGGACGAAGGAGAGAACAAGAGCGAGAGCGAGAGACAGACAGGCCAATTTGAATAATCAATGCTAAGCCCTTGGATGTTGATAATGGAACTCTCAGTGATGATAATGCTCTGGAGCCATCAGGAGGAGCTGGTGGGCACTCATATTGGAGACCATCATTCCTTGGCACTTGTAAGACTCAAATGTTAGTTAAATTCAAGCCTTGATGCTCTCCAGGTCCTGCTGCATTGGAACAGACTATTCCATTATTTGGGGAATTGCAAATTGAACTGGATCATACAATCAAACAGCGCAGAAGAGGGCCCTCAGCCCATCAAGTCTGTACCACCAAAAATATACTATCACCTACCCTGGTCCAACTTTCCCGCACTAGGTCCATGACCATGAATGCACATCAAGCACTTATTCAAGTACTTTTTAAAGGTTGTGAAGTTTCCCACCTCAACTACCCTCCAAAGTAGTGCATTCCAGATCCCACCACCCTCTTGGCGAAAGTTTTTCTTTAAATCCCCCCAAACCTCTTGCATTTCACTTTAAAATGATGCCATCTTGTTACTGACCCTTTGACTAAGGGATACAGCTGCTTTCTATTCATGCTGTCCATGCCCCTCATAATCTCATACACTTCTATCAGGTTCTCCCCTCAACCTTCTGTGGTCCAAAGAAAACAATCCAAGCTTATCCAGCCTATCTTCACAACTGAAGTGCTCTGCCCCAGGCAACATTTTGGTGAACCTCTTCTGCACCACTTCTGATATGAACATACCCTTCCTAAAATGTGGTGACTAGCCTGCACACAATACACTGGCTGTGGTCTAACCAAAGTTTTGTACAGTTTCAACATGACTTCCCTGCTCTTATAATTTATGCCACAACTGATAAAAGCTAGTGTCCTGTATGTTTTTTTTTTAAAACTACCCTAATAATCTGACCTGTCAACTTCAGGGATCTGTGGACACACACCCCTCTGAACTCCAGTGGCCTGCCATTCATCCAATACTCCCTTTACATGCTCCTTCTTCCAAAGCGCATTACCTCACATCCAGGAAGGTTAAATTCCATCTGCTACTGATCTGCCCATCTTATTATACGGATACTGCAAGTATTAGTGACCATGTAAATTTCTGACCCTACGATGGGCAAACGTACATGGAATTGGTTGGCTATAGGACAACCAGAGGAATACCTTCAGTGATGTTCAAGGGCTGAGATGATCAGCCTTCAATAACCATTGGTATCTTTTTTTGTGCAAATGTACAGCTGCAGTAAATGAAGAGTTTTAGCCAATTCCTGGTAGCATCAATTTTCTGAAGGCTCCTTGGTGCAATGTTTGATCAAATGTTGCCCTAATGACAAGGACAGTTACCTCATATCTAGAATTCAGATCTTTTATCCATATTTGGAACAAGACTGTAATAGGGCCTGGGGCCAGGTAGCCTTGGCAAAATCCAAGCTAAGTGCCAGTGAACAAGTTATCACCCTTTAAGAGCACTGCTGAGGATATCTTCCATCATTTTGCTGATAATTAAGAATGGGCTGATAAGGTGGTAAATGACTGGATTGGACGAGGGTTCTGCTTTTTGTGGACAGGACATACCTGATTATTTTTGACTGTCAGATAAATGCCAGTATTATAGCTGTAATGGAAAAGCCTTGCCAAGAGCATGGTTAGTTATACAGCAAAAGTCTTCAGCACCAGAGCCAGGATATCGTCAGGTACCATCTTCTCACATCATGTGGAATGAATCAAATTGGCTGAAAACTGGCATTAGGAGGTGGCAGAGTTGGAACATCTCTGTGCTGCTGGCTGAAAATAACTGCAAATGCTTAGCCTATTCTTCTTCAATAAGGTCTTGGAGTAGATTTGTAGCTCGGGTTGTGGGTGTTGTGGTTGGTCAGAAGATGCCTACACAAACAACAACAGGAAGATACTACACGCCCCGACACACTCATCACGCTACCTTACATCAGGAACACATCAGAACTAACCACAAGACTCCTACAACCGCCGGGCATCACAGTGGCCCACAAACCCACATCAATCCTACGAGAACGGCTCACCCGAACCAAAGACACACTACCCGCTATAGACAGGACCAATGTCATATATAAGATGCCCTACAGAGACTGTGACAAACAGTACATCGGACAAACAGGAAGGAAATTAACAACAAGGGTACATGAACACCAATTGGCCACAAAAAGACACGACCAATACTCACTCATCTATATCCACATGAATAAGGAGAACGACCAATTCGACTGGGACAACACCAAGATCCTGGGACAAGCAAAGCACAGACAGGCACAGGAGTTTCTAGAAGCCTGGTACTACACGAAGAAAGCCATCAACAAACACATAGAACTCGACCCCATATACACTCCATTGCGAAGGAAAACCAGAAGTGAGGTAATCCAGCTCAGCAGACTCCAGAGTTTAAAAACCAGGTGGGAAAACACAACAGAGCTTCATTGGAGGCTGCACTGATGATGTTACCCAGCAGGGTAATGAAACGTCTGCAGAACAACAATGAACCAGCTTAGCGAGCCAACCAACCACAACCCTATTCTTCTTCATTCACATGATGGATTCCCAAATCATTGAGACAGAAGTTTCCGAAGCCACTTCCTCTCCCTTTTCATTGTTTACTGTCCACCATTATTTACTGAATGAGGCAGAACTGCAGAGTCCTCTGATCCGAATGGTCACAGAATTGCTTAGCTTTATCTATTAACATGGCATTTTGACACCAGACATTAGTAAGGACTTTGCTAAGTTGCTGGAGGTGGGTGAGCCTTTATTCCTTTTAGGTCATTAAAACTTGACAGGCGTGGTTCTTATTAATATTACCAATCTTCATAGCAATTTTGATAAAGCTGCTTTGTACTCAACAAGTCAGTTAAGGATGTAGTCACATTGCTGGGAACGATAGCAGTTATTCCCCCCGACCCCACAATTAAAACTAGTTTTATGACAATCTGTAAGTTCAATTACTGACATGAGTAAGTTGTGATTCCAAGTTTAATTAATCACATTTAAATTCCCTCATTGCAGTGAAGGGATTTACACGTGCTTCTGGATCAATAGTCTAGGTCTGTGAATAAATGGTCCAATAACATGTGATTAAGTCTGTTTACTTAGGACAAATGGTTATAAAGATGGTAGATGTGATGCCAAAGGCAAAAGAAGTATAGAGAGAGCCTGAAAAAAATTCAAGACGATGAAGAATTCATAAACAAGAAAACACAACCTTGATACAAGGAAAAAATGCATAAGGTACAACTTTGTATCAACTTCCTGCATACCTTAGAAACATGAACAATTTTTAAAAGAACCTGTTAAAGAAAATAGAGGATTTTAAATGTGAATTCTTGGACACATGCAAAAAAAAATAGGGCTACAGAGAGATCAACCAAGATTGGATAATGGACGTCACACAGTGATTGCAAATGAACTACAATGGAGTGTTGGGATGACGCAAGGCAGACAGTGTGATATAGTATAACAGGAGATGTCTTTATAGGAGTCATTATGAGCAACAGCAATATAATCACAAAGCTACTGTACTGATATTTGTATTGTTCATCAACATGCAGCTATGATACCATGAGAGAAAGTGATAATCGGTTGTTTGTTATATTATTAGATGCAAGCTTATAGAGTTGCAAGTGTTTCGTTGGGAAGGAATTTTAAAATTTAAATTAAATATTTCATTTTGTTTTTAAATTGAGAAGGTGGTTTCCAATACGTAAAGAGATAAGAACAAGGCGCCCAAGATACAAGACCGAATGTCAGATATTTTGACCAAAGGGCAGTAGAATCTTTCACGAATTGTAAGTTGTGGAATTTCACTTCTGGGATTGTTGATTGAGACAAAAGCTGACAAGATGAGATTGGAGAAGTGGATGAAGGAAAAAGAGCTGAAGGAAGATCGGAAGAAGCTGAGCAAAAAGGCGTTTAGATCCATTCGGCTGTGTGGAAAATACTTGCGGACGTGGATCGGCCAGACCAATTCATCTGTTTTCATTTTGTAACTCCTTTACATCAGTCCTTCACCTGTCATGCAAATTTAAAATGCACATGATGGAAGAATGGTAGGGCAGAGGCAGCAGAATTAAGTAACGGAAGAAACAACCTCTTGGGACAAGTGCAGAATCTTTTGTGAACACAGCTGCATTACTGAAAGAACACTTTATGCTCAGGCAATAGGGGATTAGAAGGTCACATGCTTGCATGCCTACCATGCATCATTATGGTTTTCCCCTCCCTTTACTGCATTTCCACTCTAGTAAGTGTGGATATGGAATCTCGATAAATGACAAAGAGAAGAAAAAAAAATCAAACCTGATACAAAATATATCAATCCAGATATCTGAATCATACAAGGGAGTAGGGAATCGGGGTTATAATGATAGATTTAGATAAGCGAAGGTGGGAAGAGGCTCAAATGAAGCATAAACACAGTTTATAAACACATTTCTGATGAAGGATCTAGGCCCGAAACGTCAGCCTTCCTGCTCCTACGATGCTGCTTGGCCTGCTGTGTTCATCCAGCTCTGCACCTTGTTGTCTCGGATTCTCCAGCATGTGCAGTTCCTACTATCTCTAAACACAGTACAGACTGGCTGGCCCAAGTGGCATGTTTCTGTGCTACACATCCTATGAAAGCCGGGTATAAACTTACAAAATCCTAACATACTTTAAGTGACACACTCACCTCTTGATCTCTCAAATTGGTGTCACCACCAAATATTACTGTGACATTTTCTGGTGCTTCTTTGATTTTCTTTAGTACAATCTCCAGCTGTTTGACTCGTTCCTGTGAATGTGCTTTAGTACTCTCCAGGTGGGATGTCATTAAACAGAGTTCATTTCCTGCAATGTTCACCTGTGATAAGGGGAGGTACAGAAGATATTTGTTTGACATCATCTTTCATTATTTCTATGAAATTGCCAGTGCAATGCTGCAACATCACAATCTGCAATTCTGTCTCTGTCTCTTTCAGATGAAATGCATTTTTAAAGGTATTCAAAAATTATACTCCAGTATGTCGTGTAAAAGGTTCTATTTCCCTTGTAACTTATTCAAATTTTCTTCAGAAGTAGGAGTTAAGAAAGAAGATCAAACCCTCTTCAGCTACAAGGGATGGGAATCATCCATTAGCGTCCAACATTTTGCTTGAACAAGGGATAGGAGTCAGCTATTAAATTTGCCTGGTATTGGAGTTAAGATGATGCTAGCAAGATTTAGGGAAAACTGAACTTTATCCTTTTCCCTCAAATTTGAGCAGCTGTATCATATCCCAGTGGGCACATGAGGAGTAGAGAGGAGAGGGATACCAACAAAAAAAAAACTACTTAGCTTTAGGAATTTCCTTTTGTTTTGTTGAACATGTAGTTCAAATTCCTTAATTAATTTTTAATTAATAATTAATTGTACTCCATAAAAAAGGTGGAGAGTGGGTAAGAGCACCCATGCAAATTTGTTCATCCTATTGGCAAGACAGGACGACTCTAAGCTTTATGGAATTACTTTAGAAAAAAAGAGCGTTTTGTTTTATTCATTCACTGTACGTGGGGGTCACCAGGCCAGTATTTGTTGCCCATTTCTAACTAACCGCAGAAGGTGGTAACGTGTTGCCTTCTTGAATCACTGAAGCCCATGTCATGTGGATACACCCAAAGTGCCATTACAGAGAGATTCAAGATTTTGACCTAAGGACAGTGAAGAATGGTGACACTGCTCTAAGCCAGGATGCTGTGTGGCTTGGAGGCAAAATTGCAGGTGATGGTATACCCAAACATCTGCTGGCTTTGTCCTTCTAACTTCTGGTGGATTTAGGTTTAGAATGAGCTATCAAAAGGAACCACTGCCAGCAAGAGGTGGTAGCAAGGCAGGATTTATGGTAGGGCTCACAGCAGAATCTCTACAAACTTTAGCATAGAGAACTCCTGTTTCAAACAACAGCAGCCTCCTAATAAAACAACATTTTTTCTTAGCTATAATGCCATTAATGGAGGATACAAATTTGTTCATGACTGAATCCATGAACACAATGTAACAGACATGGGAATGACCCAACTAGCATCATCCTAATCTGGATTTGTGACCAAAGGTTGCCTTTCTTAAAAACACCATGCTGTACCAATTCCCATTTACGGATTTAATTTCCCACAATGCAGCCATAGTGCAGGAACTACTTTTGTTGCCATACAGCTTTAAACAAAATCACAAAAGTTCCCAAAGGTTATGGTGAGCTGTAAATAACTAGAAATGTTCTTTTCTTATACTTGCCTCAGTACTTCAAAAAGAAATCACATACGCTCCCAGCACCAAAGGAAAATATACATAACACAGAAGGTGATAAAGAGGCAGGTGAGCTCAGGGTCAAGAACTGCAGACTCAAAAATGACAGTAAGTAGATGGAAATCAAAACCAGAAGAACAAAGTTTCTGGCAAACTACAAAAGGATGCCTTCAATTTTACAATAATTAGGCTGAAGGATGGAATACAATTGTAAAGAACAGAAGCTGCACCAGCTCCGTTGAACAACAATCCAGTTAGCTTCTCATCGCCAATCTTTCCTAAGACACCTACAGTTTAGCCAATACTCTTTTGAACATTACTACTGAATTTTTATCTACCACATTTTCAGGCAATGCATTCTAACTCCTAAGCATGTGTTAGGGTATTGGAGCCTGTCTCCTTCATGAATTTCAACTGGCTGTCAGCAGTATGCATACTAGAACTCATCTTTCATCCTATTGGATGAACTTAACAAAAGATAGTACATCTGTGACTCTATAACCACAGAAGAGATGGGACCAGAAAAAAAAAGATTCATGTTGTACAATTAAGATTACTGTACAGGCTCTGAAGTTAATGAGATTGCTTTCTACTTCAATCCTAGGTCAGTTAAAACAATTACCGATGTAACTTTTTATTCTACTGCTTAATTTTGCTAAAAACATATCCTTTTATATAAAGGAACAGCAACGTTCAGCCACACACATTATGCTCACCTGCCAAGAAGCTTGACCTTTAGAAGTTTTACAACATCAAAACTTAAAGATTTCTAAAAATGTTTGTACTTCAACGTTTTGCACCCCCCAACCCCATTCCCCACACCCCCCCAAAACAATGACTAGGGTGGAGTTCACAAAACAGGTTCTTCACATAATTTAAAAATTGGTAACTTTCTCTTCTGATGATATCCTTGTATCCTTCCTACCTGAACAGCAAGAAGGTTTCTCTTCATGGAAGTGGTTGGGAAAGGTGTTATTTCTTGTTCCAATAATTTCACTCGAGATTTTTTCAGCATAATGGCTGTGAAGTAGTCATCTTCATCTCCTAGACAGATAAAAATTAATTCCCAAAATTTATTTTAAAAAAAACTTTTCCTTCCTCTTTCCCATCCAATGAAAAGTTAATTTCACCCAAGGAATCTCCCTAATTTCAAAGCTTATAGTGACGTACTTATATTGCATCTTTAACACAGTAAAGTATCCCAGCTTCATAGCAGTGTGAAGCAAACGTTGACAATAAGCCGCACAAAAATAGTGAGAGAAGTAAAGTAGATTTTAAGGATTGACAAATTCAGCAAGAGGAAAATCAGCATAACATTTTAAGAAGGCAATTCCACAGCTTGTGTCCTAGATAGCTGAAGGCATGGCCAAGAATGGGACAATGGAAGCAGGACACACACAAAACTTCAGATTTGCTTTGCTCTAAGCTAAGAAAATACAAGAAATATTCATCAGTTTAGGAAGCATCTGTGGAGAGAGAAACAGATAATGTTTCAAGTTGATGAACTATGATCAGAACTCATGGCAAAATATGGGAACATCAGGTAGAACCTGACCAAAGGTCACATGCCTCAAACAATTTGTTTCTCATTCAACAGATACTAAATGCCCTGAGGAACATTTCTAATTATTTTTTACTAATTTGTTCATGGGGCTATGGGCATTGCTGGCTGGGCCATCACTTCTTTCCCATCCCATGCCTGAACAAGGTCGTGTTGAGTTGCCTTCTTAAACTACGGCAGTCCATGAGGCGTGGGGACATCCAAGTGCTATGAGGAATAGAGTTCCAGGGACTTGAATAGCAGCAAAACGAGAAGGATATAGCTCCACTTGCAGAGGAACTTGCAAGTGATGTTCCAATGTATCGATTGTCCTGATACTTCTAGATAGTAGAGGTTGTGTGTTTTGGAAGATGCTATCAAAGGAGCCTTAATGATTTGCTGTTGAGCATTTTGTAGATGGTACACACTGCTACCTATTTGCCAGTGATGGAGGGAGTGAATGTTTCAGATGGTGGATGAGATGCCAATCAAATTAACTGCTTTATCTTGGATGGTATTCAACTTTGAGGGTTGTTGGAGAAACACCCACCAAACCAAGTTGAGAACATTCCATCACATTCCAACTTGTGCTCTGTAAATGATGGCCAGATTTTGGGAATCAGGAAGTGAGTTACTTACTACAGCATTCTCTGTCTTAAGCCCAATCCTGTTGCCACAGTATTTTTGTGGCTAATCCAGATCAGCATCTGACTGATAACAACCACAGGATTTTGATAGTGGGGGATTCAGTAGTGGCAACGAATGCTAAGGAAAGATGGTTAGATTCTCTCGTTTGACATGATCATTGCCTGGCACTTGTTTGCTGCAAATGAGAGTTGCACTTTTCAGTCCAAGCCTGAAAGTTGTCCAGGTCTTGCTGCGCACGGGCAAAAACTGTTTCAGTATCTCAGTCATTGTCAGTGGTGCTGAGCGTTTGCAATCAACAGCGAATGTTCCCATTCCTCTGACCTAATGGCAGTGGAAAAGCCATTGATGAAGCAGCTGAAGATGATTGGGTCCAGGATACTAAGAGACACTAGGACACCAAGGAGCTTCTGGGTCTGACCTGACTGACCTCCAGCCAACATTTTCCTTTGTGCTAGGTATGACTTCAAACAGTGGAAAGTTCCCCTTGCCCGATTCCCACTGGATGCAGTTTTGCTCAGGCTGCTTAAGACCACACTTGGTCACATGCAACCTTAATGTCAAGGATAGTCACTCACCTCCCCTCTTGAATTCAGTTGTTTGCCCATATTTAGTTCAAGACTGTAACGATGTCAGGAGTTGAGTTGCTCTGGCAGCACTTAACTAAGCATCAGCGAGCAGGCTATTGCTGGGTTACTGCTGCTTAATAGCTGTTTGTTATCACTTCAGATTTCCAGGATCTGCACTTTTATTATTGTCACCCTGCATTTGTCCAGAATGAATCTCAGTGGATGGTTCACAAGAACCATGTACTGTACCAAGTATATTTTCATGCAATAAAAAGCTACTCAGTATTGAAATGTGGGCAAATGGCATGGTGGCTCAGTGGTTAGCACTGCTGCCTCACAATGCCAGGGACCTGGGTTCGATTCCACCCTAGAGCAACTGTCTGCGTGGAGTTTGCACATTCTCCTTGTGTCTGCATGGGTTTCCTCCGGGTGCTCCGGTTTCTTCCCGCAGTCCAAAGATGTGCAGGTTAAGTGAATTGGCTATGCTAAATTGTCCATAGCGTTCAGGGATGTGTAGATTATGGGGGATGGGTCTGGGTAGGATGCTGCGAGGGTTGGTGTGGACTTGTTGAGCCGAAGGGCCTGTTTCCACACTGTAGGGATTCTATGATCTATGAAATGTATAACGCAGGAATTAGTATGTTTTTCACTGTCAAATTCAGAGGTCTGAACAAGGATCAAAAAACCAGATTGGAGGACAAATCAACTCCGCCATAGTCACTTGTGGATTATATTTAATTTGACTGATAAAATAATTAAGAAATGATTTAACAAAATTATCAGTTTTTCCAATGAACCTCAACATTTGTATCACTCGGTGTTGTTGGACTGACGTGAAATAATGGCACTCATATTCAGATGAAAATATACAAATCAGGGAGTAACCCATCGAGCCCCTCAAGCCTCTTCCACCATTTGATGAGATCATAGCTGATCTAATTACTCTTCATTCCTGCCTACTCCTGATAAGGTTTCACCCCTTGCTCATCAAGAATCCACTTCTGCCTTAAAAATATTCAAAAACTCTGTTTCCAACACCTTTTGAAGAAGAGTTCCAAAAATCCATTAACCTTGGGGGGAAGAAAATTCTCGTCTCTCTTAAATGGGTGACCCCTTATTTTTAAATAGTAGCCTCTAGCCCTAGATGCTTCCAGAAGAGGAAGCATCCTCTCTACATGCATCCTGTCAAGATCCCTCATGATCTTAGATATTTTAATCAAGTTACCTCTTACTTTTCCAAATGCCAGTGGATACAAGCCTAGGCTGTCCACCACTTCCCATTCCAACTGGTAGTCTAATAAACCTTGTATGAACTACTTCAAATGCATTTCATCACATCTTACACAAGGAGATCAATACCTTACACCATACTACAGATGCAGTCTCACTAGTGCCCTGTGCAAACAAAACATAACCTCCGTACTTTTATAATCAATTTCCCTTGCAATAAATAACAGTGCAATAGCTTTTCTGAAGTATTTGCTATACCTGCATACTAACCATTCACAATTAGTTTACTAAGACACACAGGTCCCTGTGCATTTCAGCTCTGCAATCTCTCACCATTTAGATAACAAGCTTTGCTTTTTCGTTCTCTCTGCCAGCAGTTTATACATATTACAGTAGTAACATGTAAGCTTCTACAGCTTTGATGCAGCATAATAATATCATGCTAAAGTTCATCATCAGCAAATGCTGCACCACCATAGACTTCTGCAGTGAAGCTATAACTTCACACTACTTTCATGCCAATCAATACATAGATTGAGAGACCAAACAGTAACCAAGGCAACAACCATTATCCTCTAATCATTTTGGGGAATAAGTGCATTCTGAAAGCTGAGATGTTTCAAATGATTTTGTATATCCTTAGGGACACAAATAACAGGACACAACTAGAGACAAAATGACAGGTGCCACATGAAAATTGATCCAAAAAGGTAATTTCAGAGCACAGAAACAGCAAGTGGAAAAACATAATTGCAGCAGCTACAGAGAATAGCTCTCCTGTAAATCAACATATGCTCCAGACACTAGCTCAGCAAGCAGTGGAAAAGTAAGGAATGTGGCTGTCAGCCTCCTTTTCTGTTATTCAGTTAGATTGTGGCTAATCAATAAGTCAGACCTGGAGAAGCAGGAACTCAGTGACAAAGTTCACAAGATCGTTGAGCTGCAAATGAATGGTTCATATACAAAAAAAATTAAAATGTTACATTATAGGAAAGCAGATATATAATTACTATGCAAGTCTTTCCCTTCTTTCTAAATTAGGTCATGGGTTCTAAACAGAAAACAAGGAATTAAAAAATTCAAATGGGGCAAAATCAATCAACAAGCAGGTTAATAATTAGTCTTAGCACAAATAAGCTTTACCAAAGCGCAGATTTCATAAGAATGAAAGGGAGTTCGACAAATCCAAAATTGAGTGAGGGGAGAGTAAGACATCTGAAGCAAAATATAAACCAATAGTGTTAAACTCTGGCTATGGGCTAAGATACAGTAAAAAGCTAAATTATTAAATAAATTAAACAAAGTTATTAATTAGATTAAAAACTGCATGAAGGCAACTCACAGATAAAAATTGAAAACCTAACTAACTAAAGGACATAATGATGGTTACGGGAGTGAGCAAAGATGTGACAAACGGAATATAATGTGGGGAAGTGTGCAATTGCCCACTTTGACAGGATTAATCAAAAGAAGCATATTATCTAAATGGCGAAAGACTGCAGAACTCCGGAATACAGAAAGATCTGGATGGCCTTGGGCATGAATCACAAAAGGTTAGAATGCAGGTTCAGCAAGTGTTATCATTTATCACTAGGGGGAATTGAATATAAGAGAGGTTACACTTCTGTTATACAGGGCAGTGGCGTAAGACCATAAGGTGTACGAGCAGAATTAAGCCATTTGGCCCAGAGTCAGCTCCATCATGATGTCCTCGTATTTCAAGGACTGCAACTTCCCCTTCTCAGTGGTCGAGAATGCCCTCGACCGTGTCTCCCGCATTTCCCGCAACTCATCCCTCACACCCCATCCCCACAAATAACAACCAAAAAAGAATCCCCCTTGTCATCACGTACCACCCCACCAACCTCTGGATCCAACGCATCATCTTCCAACACTTGCGCCATCTGCAATCCAACCCCACCACCAAAGACATTTTTCCCTCCCCACCGTTATCTGCTTTCCGGAGGGACCACTCTCTCCGTGACTCCCTTGTCTGCTCCACACTCCCTTCCAGCCCCACCACACCCGGCGCTTTTCCCTGCAACCGCAGGAAGTGCTAC